CGTCAGCGCAGCTCTTCTCTCGTCCGTATCTATCACGTCGTACTTGTTGGATTATCTGCTCCTTTACCTTATCCGTCTGCTTTGAAGGTCGGCCAGAGCGAGGGGCGTCTTGTACGTGCTCTAGGAGGATCTTAAGAGGGAGAACGTTTGGCTCGAAACCAGCCTTAATAGCTCTACTATAGATACGATTAACCGTACGAGGATGAACACCAGTAAGTTCAGAGATCTGTGATGTAGACTTGCCAACAGAAGGTGACTTTAACGCCACAATTAAGGTGCGGGTGTAAGGATCAGTATTAGGAGACATTGTAACGATAGATACAGACAAATCGTACAGCTACTCAGCTCAAAGGTGGGAGTTGCGCCAAGAAGAGTTATGCCGAAGCGCCGAGATTAGCGTGGGACAAAACTTTTGTGAGGCACCTCCGTAGACTGATCTACTCTTTGCATGAAGCTTCTTCCCAAGGAGAATTTTTCCTTCTTATCTTTTTCTTTTCTTTTCTTTTCTTTTTTTCTTTCTTCGCTCACGCGCATCGACACTTTTCCTACGTAGACTTACGCAATCTAGCAACCATGCGTAGTTTCTCGCGACGGTGATTTGATTTGGAATCAATGAAAAACTCAAGCTATATGTCTTAAGATTAGAAATTCTGATTTTCTCTCTTTTCTCAAAGAACAGAGAATGCAGTGATACTGTCCTACTGCACCATAAGCACTGCACGGGCAACAGTAACGACGCCATCGCATAAGAACTGATGTGTATTTGCACCAAGCGCGATGCACCCCTTCCGCATGCAAGTCCGGTCGCTCACAAAGTGTGCCAGCCATGTCAACGCGGGAAACCCTGCAGTTCAACTGTACATATTTGCTGCTGTTGTTGGGGAAGGCGACGGAGATTGCGCAGTCCCCATGGCGTTACTTACTGTCGATTGGCTGCCCTCATTGCACCGAGCTGCTTGGTGCGAGCATTGTTGACCCGGGGAAACATGGGTCGGGAGGACGCGTGCATGCGCGCATGTCTTGGAGCAAGTCGTCATGAGAACTAGGTGGAAATAGGGGGGATTTGATGTTCGGGTTCTTAGGATGACTGTACATACGTGGTGTAGCAATGTCAACCTCTTTACTTGGTTATCTTGCGTCTTGGCTGCAGTACTGCATCGCCACACAGGTTTCAGGCGCAAAAACCTGCTTCGTGTGTACAATGGTTATGGGAGGAATTCGCGGTTTGAGACTCTACTGTCACAGCAGCAACAGCATTACACGTGAGCAGTTAGCATAGTACAGATGATCTGGACTAGTGAAGGACAAAAAGGAAAGGGTCTTGAAGAATGCGATATCTTAGTAATCCCGGCATCCCCTGTAACCGCGATTGCATATGCGATCCTTTTATAACAGGCAGCTAGCGCTGGCGTCATTGGTGCACAGGCAGTCGGATGCACGGCAAAATGAGTTTGACATACGGCGGGACAAAGACGGAGAGTTAGGACTTGTTTGTTTGCAAAGCAAGCCCGCCCCATTGTAAAACACCGTTTCTCTCCACATGCCAAGTATCGAGGCGTGGCGTGTTTTCTTTTCCAAGCGGAGATTAAAGTGGGGAGCGAGGTGAAAAGGGGATAAGGCGCTGTTGAGGGCGGACATGCTTGGCTGTGCGGCTTGCGTTGTCGCGTTTACCATGGTGTGCGACAGTCGGAGACGCATGTTGGCTGGTGGCTGCGAGTCATGGCAGGATTGTTGTTTGATGTTTGGCATGCCAGTTGGGGCGGCGGCGGCGGCGGTGGGGAGGGTGATGCCCATGTCTGGATCTGAGGCCCAGCCAGTGGCAGCCAGCGGACTCAACGATCATCTCCACTGCAAAAGTCGAGAGAGTCGAGAATAGTTACACGGTGGGTCGTGACGGTAGCCAGGGCTTGTGCAGTAACGCGTTTTGCCGTGTCGCAATCTTCAGGAGTTGAGTCACGCAGGCGGGCCAGGGCTGGAGATGCCGGTCATTGAGCCAAAAGCTTATCTCGCTATAGAAAAGCATGGCCCTGCAAATAGACTCGGCCGGTAACTCCTGGGATATTCCCGAGGGCCGTGGGATGCGTGCATGCGCTGCGGGGAGGGGAAAGGGCCTGAAGCAACGGCCGTGAATCAGGCACACCGGAGGCTGGCTGGATCGAGGTATAGAATCAATAGCCACTTGCTCCATTTGCTGATGTGGTGTTTATGGCCAATACATCCTTCGACGGGGGGGCATCTGTCATGCCAGGTGGGCGTGCGAGTGCGAGTAGTCGTTATCGGCGGTGCGCCCCTGGACGATATATACGAACTATAGGCATGCAGGGCGGAATGAGACTGAGGCGAGGTGTGCGTCATCGAGCAACGGGACGAGATGGATGGGAATTGGGCATGCTGGGTGTGGGTGAGACGGAAGCGGCTTGGCGGGCGACGTGATTGGCCCGTGGTTTGTATCGCAAGATGAAGGGCAGGCAACGCGGACATAATACGGGCTGGCTGCAGCACGCGCGCCTGGCCGGGCCCTCGCGCTCTCCTTCGCGCACTCTCTGCTTTGCCGCCGAGAAAAGTCTTCAGACGGGCCTCCAAGCCAAGCCAGGGGCGTCGGCGGAGCCAAGCAGACAGGAGTGGAGTTGGGTAGCATGCAGCGGGCGTGAATGGGCGGCTGCCCCTGTGCTGGGCAGGCTGCGGCTAGCGCACGCCAAATCAGACATCGTATAACCCCCCGGGACAATTCAACTCTCTTCTTGTGTGTGGACCTCTCTTAGTCTCGACAAGCTCTGCCCCAAGCCCCGTGGCGGCTGCGAGTCGGCCTCGGCGACTGTTGCCAATCCGCCCCGCCACGAGTCGATGGACACCTTATTACACCTGCTATTACAACGACTACGTACTATCCAGCTGCCCTCCATGGGCTTCACAACCTCATGCGCCAACCGTCACTCAGCCAGGCCACGCACCCCCCTACGCCTCGCCAAACACACACCCCGCGGTATCCAAAGACGAACTGCGCGGGGACCGACTTGGCCAAGGGCTTACAGTAAAATGAAGACCGACAGTGGGCAGGGCCGGGGTGAATCGCTCACTGTTTCGAGGCCGTGACGGTGATTTGGTCAGTCGGCGTCGTCACAGGCGAGGCAGGAAACACGCCTCCGCTCGACGCCTGAGGCGTCAAACGGCGTTTCAATACTATGCACCAAACAGCTTCCTTGCACACATGGCGCCCCAGGGCGGTGATAGTGCTGCTGTTCCTGCATGGCTGTCGCGCAACCCTGCTCACTGTATCGTCTCCCGAGGCGAAGCCGGTGCCGCGCATCCATGGCCGCCATGCCATGCCTGAAGCAGGGCGTCGGCCGCACGAACAGCTGCTTTTTCTGCCTCGCCGGCATCTAGACAAGTGCGTGCAGCAGCCAGCCGTCGGGGCGCTAGCCATGGCGCGAGTCGACATTGGTGCCACACCCCCAATGCCTCTTGTTGGCCGTCGATCATCTGCCCTTCATAAAGTACCCGTGCCTGCTCTCCGCCATGGCTTCTCTTGCTACCTTCGTCTGCCCGAACGCTAATCACCACCGCTTGTCCAGTGGTCGTCCTTCTTTTCTGTTCGCTACCTCTTTCAGTGCGTCGTCCTTCTCGATCGCCACGTTCCGCTCGCTCAGTTCCATATTCGAATCCCTATTTGGACATCTCCTATAATTTCTATAATTCGCATTCCAAGCCATGCGTTACTCGTTTGCTCTCGCTGCCGTTGCGGCCGTCACCCCCATTGTTAGCGCCCATGGAGCCGGTATCCCTAGCATTGTCGGTCTCGACCCAAAGGACGTCAGGGCGCGTGACCTGCTCTCCCGCACTGGAGCCCGATTCGCCGGAGTCCACGAGATCATGAGGCGCAAGCACCATGCCAAAGTTCAGAATGCCCGCCGCCAGGATGATCGCCAGTGCGGTGCCGGCATCGGCTCCTGCGCTGCTGGCGAGTGCTGCTCCAGTGCTGGCTGTATGTTTTGTCCATCTTGCACAGTGACGGCTTGACTAATCAAATCTAGACTGCGGAACGGATGGTGACTACTGCTTCTCCCCGGGTTGCGACTATGAGCATGGCCCCGCCTGCCCAGAGAACATCACCCCTGGAGGCACAAACACCTCTTCTATCGCCCGCACCAAGCTCGGCAACGTCGACTATGGCGGCAATGGCATCTACAGCTGTACCCAGCCAGGAACCGTTGCCCTCACCTACGACGATGGCCCACAGAAGGTTTTCACTAGCCACATTCTGGATGTCATGGCTACCTACAATGCCAAGGCTACCTTTTTCATTACTGGAAACAACATCAACAAGGGCCAGATTGACATTACTCCTGAATTCGTCTCCGTCATCAAGCGTATGGACTCCGAGGGCCACCAGATTGCCTCGCACACCTGGACTCACTTGGACCTGAGCGCCATTTCCAAGCAGGACCGCTACAACCAGATGATCAAGAACGAGATGGCTCTCCGCAACATTGTTGGCAAGATCCCCACCTACATGCGTCCTCCCTACTCTAGCTGCACTGCCGAGTCTGGCTGCGAGCAGGATCTGGCTGACCTTGGTTACCACGTCACCTACTTCGACTTGGACACTGTACGCTCAACTCACCAATACTCTTTCCCAGCAAACCACTGACTTTTTTAGGATGACTATGAGCATGATAGCCCTACTCTGATTCAATACTCCAAGGACGTTTTCAAGGGTAACGTCACCTCGACAACGCCTGCCAACGGCCAATGGCTCGAGATTGGCCACGACATCCACGAGCAGACTGCCATGAACCTGACCGCATACATGCTTTCCACCCTCACCCAGCTCGGCTACAAGGCTGTTACCGTTGGCGAGTGCCTTGGCGACCCTGTCTCAAACTGGTACCGCACTGCTGGAGGTGCTGGAACTGGCAACCAGGTACGTGCTCACTCTTTTGCCTGACCGGACACATCTTCTTTTTGCGGGAACCATTCCAAGTTCCAAGTCATACGCTCTCGTGTGCTTTCTTTTTCTTTTCTCTGGCCATGGGCCAGTCTAATTATCGAGTCTTGAAAAAAAAGAACTCAAAGGCCTCAAGCTCACCGAGGCCTTGAAAGACGCCGATGCGGCCATTTCGGGAAACGCCGCTAATACCGGCGCCATTACGTCCGACTCGGGGGGCTTCTTTTCTCCTTGCCCTTGGGCTATTCCTTTCTTTTGTGTCGGTCTGAGCGGTTGCTTCTTTTACTCTCTACAGTCGACTAACACATGCCCTCTCATAGCCCACTACCACAAAGCCCTCTACCCCTGCCGCTTCCACCCCTGCCTCGACTACTCCTAAGAAGGTATCCACCGATGCTACTTGCGGTGGAACTAAAGGATTGTAAGCTATCCCATCCCCCATTCGATCCCCCCATTCCCTCCTCCTAACACCTATCAGCACCTGTGCGGGCTCCACCTTTGGCAACTGCTGCAGCGTAAACGGCTGGTGCGGTAGCACTGCTGCCTACTGCGGTACCGGCTGTCAAACAGCTTTTGGTAACTGCGGCAGCAATGGTGCTGTCCCTTCCAAGGCCGCCACTCCTACGTCCTCCAAACCCGCCACTCCTACGACCTCCAAATCCGCCACTCACAAGCCCACCCCTTCTGCTGCCCTCAAGGTCTCCACCGACGCAACCTGCGGTGGAAAAACAGGCTTCACCTGCTCTGGTTCGACCTTTGGCAACTGCTGCAGTGTCAATGGCTGGTGTGGTAGCACAGCCGCTTATTGCGGTACTGGCTGCCAGTCCGCCTTTGGCAAGTGCACTTAAACCCCTTTTCGAGCCGACGCCCACCGTCCCCCTTCCTTCCTCACCGCCACCGCCATCATCCCGACAACAACGCTTTCCCAATCGTCTTCTGTAAGAGCTTGGATATCAGGAGAAGAGGAGGATGTAAATGTACAGAATCCTTGCATCCAGCCAAAGAGAGGGAGAGCGGCATATATTTCTGTTAACGACGTCATGAGGTAAAAGTAAAGCAAGAGCTTAGTTGTATAACCATAATCTTTTTTTTCGCGACTGTATAGCAAAGAAAGAAGGGATGTGTACTTGTTACAACAAGTTTCCTTCTTTTTCTACTTCTTCTTCTTCTTCTCTGCAGTCTTACTAGATTGCTTTTTTTCTTTCTTATAACGATGTAGAGGTATGAGTAGACAGAGCAAGAAAATCAAAGGATGTGTTGTCACGATGGTTGGCGGGCCACAGGACGAGAGAGAGAGAGGGTGAGGGTGGGCGTGTTGTGGCCCACCTACTATTATATATCCCAGGGCAACCCCAACCCTGCGTCACTCTGCAAGACGTAAAAAGAAAAGTAAATAACCATAATACTTCCTCAAAAATTTCAAATACTACTTTTTTTTCTTTCTTTCTCCAATTTCCCAAGCTACACTTCCCCAGCATGTTCCTTAAACACTACCTTTTTTTGCTTTCTCTTCGCTTGTATATATCATGGTTCTGCCAAAAAAAAAGCTTTTGACCGCACACCATTGTTGAGACATTCCCCTCCAAACTTGGACCTTCTGAATGGCCGGTCAATCCACCGATCCAGTGCTATGGTACCGTTGAGTCTGGGGACAATGCGAGACTCTCTCTCTCTCTTTCTCCCTTCCTGAGAGCTATCGTGTATCTGGGGCTGGGATAAAGCAAAAGGAAGCGAGGGAGGAAGAGGAGGAGGGGTTAAGCCAGGTGTAGTCTGTGTCTGTGTCTGTGTTTTTCACCTGTTCGCATGAGTAAAGTGAATTTGTTTTTTCTTCTGTTCAACTCGGGGGGTTTTTTTTGGTTTTCCCTTGATTCTCATTACGTGATGTGGTGCTATGTATGTAGGAACCTTGCTTGCTTGTTGTGTATATATATGCGTGCTCGCCGTTATTGATTGCGTAATGCAAGTGCTAGTTACTTTGATTCGTCGAGTTCATAATAACATCCTCTTTTTTTTTTCTTCTCACGTGGCGAAGTAAGGCAGCGCGTTAACTTGTTCAGGTGCATTTGTATGTGCCAGCTACCAGTCTTTACTCAGTTCATGAATGGAGTACGTTAGACAAGTAAATACCGGTATGTTAGAGACAAAAGATCAATCATGGAAGACGGGAATGATGCTGGCCAGCGTTTTTTTCATTCATTGGAGCGCGAGCGTTTATAAAAAGCAAACTAGGCTACTAAGGAGACAACATGACGGATTTTGCCTTTCCCATACTGACTTTTTTTTTCTCTCCAAGTCCTCAGCTTCACACATTGCAGGCTCAATCTGGACTCTTCACCTCCCTCCCTCCCCTTTCCCATATCCATCACCTACATCATTCCACCAGAACATGGATTTTCCATCAGTCACACTGGCAGTTTACTCCGCGGGGCAGATGTTGTTGTCGACCAAAAAGTCGTTGAGAGCATCGATGCAAGGAGCACAGGGGCAGATCTGAATAGGGTCAGCATTTCCCAATTCAACTTTTCTGTCTCCTACGGGAGAACAAATTTTCCTGTTCATCTTACCGAGGCAGCACCGCCAGAGACACAAGCAAGAGCTGGGCCCACGCCCGCCGGTCCAAGGGCAATGGAAGCTGCAATGCAAGCCGCAGCTCCGATGACAGCTGCACAGCCGAAAATGTCGCAGTCGGCCTGAGCAGCAAACTGAATGGCTTTGGTAGTAGCCTCGTTCTCGCGCCTGGCAAGCGCATTGGGAGAGGCGGCAGCGAGACCCATGAGGGCGGACACGGTGATAGTGGAGAAACGCATTTTTGAGGGTTTGAAAAAAAAGGTAATGTGATAGAGTCAATCAAGGAGGACTTGGTGCCAAAGAGCGAGTGCAAAGTGAAGCTGATGCTGGAGACTGATTGATATCTTGCTTTCTCCGCTGGCTTCCTGGGCTCTTTTATACACTTCTTGCCTTCTTGTCTCGAGCACAACTCTACCTTCTCCTTTCATCGTCCTTCCCACCCCCATACACCACCTCGAGCAGATACCGATCAGTCTTTCCATGCGCCCAGCTTCATACCACCTTAGCAATGCCCCGATCCGGGTCTCTCTGTCTTAGAGCTGGGGGGCCTCGCGAGAAGCTGTTGCCCCACTCTCCTTTGCCATGTTGCCCATCGATCACGACCGAGTGCTTCACACCATGGCGTTGCATGGCTTCGATCGGATATGCAGTCGAGTAGCAATGACGGTGGGAGTAAGCTGAGCGCATACGGCATGAAGGACTTTGTTGTCAAAGTGCCCGGATGAGACGCTCAAGACGACAAAAGTGTAGACGACGGTTAGCATGTAATCCAGTCTCGTGCGAGCGCCTCGCATGATTTGCTGTGCTACTAGTATTCGGATGCTTGGCATGGCGTTTCCAGTCAAGATCGGCCGGGGGTTACACCGCAGTTAATATGGCTATAATGAAAAAGGCTGACCCGGTCAGACTGCAGTGACTGCATGAAATATGTGTGGGGAGTTTCCGCTTATGTTGGTGAGAGGAATACCAAGCATCCCGAAGTGGTAACGGTTTTCCGAGACAGGACAAGATGACCGATGCAGATGCATCGAGGACTTCTGTTTGTGTCAACTGACTGTCGGCTCGTCCCGTTTGCCAGGGTGCTGGGGTTCTCGATACGATGGACGTGCTGATTATTACCTTGGTCGTCAGGCAAGCTGGAACTGTTGTTGGTGGCTTCAGCTTTGCCGTAGTAGGCCGGTATTTACTTGCCGACTGCTGTGTGGAATGAAAGACCTTCTCTCGCAAACCACCCTGTAAAGTCGAATCACTTCAAATTTGAGCCCAAGCACAGTCGATATATCGAGAAAGATGAGGGCAGGATAGAACTTGAACCGGGAACCGGAGGATTCTTACTGCGCGCCTAAGACTTGAATGAACTTCGGGTCATATGAAGCGAGATCTGGACAGGCTCAACACCAAACACACACACCCCAGTGGGGGCGAACACAAACTCTAGGTATAGCGTTGCGGGTATCACGTCCAGAGTCCCCGCAAAATCCAATGGAGCCAACAATTGCTGACTGTGACTGAACAGGCTCTGCAGGCTTATGCTGTGACATCACTCATGTGGGTGTATCCATTCCTACGCCTGGGCAGTCAGCATCTTTCAATGGGGTAAGATGGCATTTTGGAAGGAAGAAGAGCCATGGATGGGGATTTGCGAGGGTAATGCTGTACTATTGCGTGCATTGTATCTGTTGGAGACTCTAATTCCGCGGTGTGCTCCTGCAGTCCTCGTTTTCAACTCTCAAGTCCCTAAATCAGAGTGACCCAAGTAGGTTCTGATGCATATACTGATCAAGCCGGGCTCAGCAGAAATAAGGAAGCAGATGGGAAGGGAAGATTGCATAAAAAAGGGCAAGGAGATTTGCTGAGCCAGACAGTCACCGGATACGATTAGATAGATGCCCAGTCGGAATGGTGGGGCAAAAAGATAATTTACTCCGACATCAGACAAAGCAAAAAGAGATGCCCTCCGCCAGAATTGAACTGACGACCTCGTCATTACTAGTGACGCGCTCTACCACTGAGCTAGGAGGGCTTCGATGAATAAACAAGTTTTTGTGATGTTCATATACTCTTTGACACAGGATATAACGTCCGTTGACTGCCGCGCAGCTCCGTAGTGAAGCGAGCACGAGTGCGAGTGATGGCTGGATGGGCCGCAATACCCGCTGTCGATCGGCTCAGCCTCGGGTAATAATGTGGCATGGCGCGAAAAGGAGAGCGACGGCAGTTGCAAATCACAGAAACATTGAATGATCGGGGTGAATCGAGCGAGGAAGCTTGATGTCTCTCCTGTGGCAATACCTGCGTCATTCTGTCGCGCCTTGGTGCTGTCACGCCTGGTGCAACAAACAGGGGTAACCCTCTTGTTTGGGGCGGCCCCCCCTACTCCAATGCCACGCCGTCACGTTGCTACAGCACTGGTGGCTTGCGGGCTCGCTGGGCTGACTGTTTTGGCAGGCCTTGCAGCCTTGACACGTCTGTTTGCAGTACGTGTAAGCAGTAGCAGCGCAGCCCAGCGAGAAGGGGCGGATTCTCCGTTGGGCTTGTCCGAGAAAGACGGACGGAGTTTCGATGCCCGCGGTCCAGCGCCGCCACGCAGCGTCTCGGCTGCACCACGCCCGCGAGAAGTCGCCATCTGGCCAGCGCAGCGCATGAAGCGGGCGTCATGAGGAAACACGCTGTGCCTGTTGCACGTGGTTCAGCTGCGCGCATGTGTGGAGATGAGAATCCGGGGCCGAGTGACCACTTAATTAAGCGCATTCACATGCCACCGCGACTAGCCTGCCAAGGCACCAAATTAAGCACCTGGGCAATTGAGCCTCTCCCGCTGATCGCCTTCCCTTCCTCCTAACATCTTTTCAAACGCGCCCTTCTCACCACACCGCGACACTCCCACGAGCGTATGACTATTGCCAGGACCGCACGCCTGGCCTCGAACCCGACTATTTCCACTATTCCAACACGACCATCTATGGGCTCTGCTTCTCCCGCCGCGACTGCCTATTTGCCCACCGCCCAGCTCACCACAGTTGGCTTCTTCTTTCCATATAGCGCACTGAGCTTGGGTCTAGATAAGACGGACGCTTCCTTCGCGTCCCTGGTCCGACAAGTAGGGGTTGGCGTTCCGCCGTGAACCTCGGCGGCGGACATAGTCTGTGGGCTATCCAAGGCCGGAGTTGGATGTGCGCACTATCCCAACCCGAGGACAAGCAAGATGCTGATTGAAATGCGCAGAATCTAGGCGCATTTGGAAAGCCACATTACTGTATTATTTTACCACCACTGTCGGCACCATGGTTTTCGCATTCGACCAAGACGATGCGCAACTCTCGGGCCAGCCCCTCCAAAGCCCCGGGTTTGCCAGGGCCAGCGACGACATGTTCGCTTTGGAGGAAATGGACATGAGTCCTCCCAGAGTGCCCCTCCATGTCGGTACCCCGCCGATCAACATTGTTAGCCCCATGCCCAAGCGCAGTGCACAGCCCGGCCCTGAGGGCAAGCTGCAGGGACCCGACAAGCTGGACTTTGACGCCGTCATGAAAAAGGCCCAGAAGAACAAAAGGAAGAAGAAGAAGGGGCCTAATGCAGGTCTGCAGGCTGCCAACATTACCCGTGGTTTTCACACTCCCGCCACATCCGGAGGGGAAGAGTCCGACTACTCCATTACAAGCACGCCGCGCTTTGGGCCCGTTCGCTCAGGGCTCCCTAGTGTGACTAGCAGTCCTGCGCTGCGGCCCCAGTCTACCGCAGGTGGTATCAGCAACCTCAAAGTCCAGCTAGAAGCCCTGAATCTTGCCTCAAGGAGCGATTCTCCCATGAAGGACTTTCCTGGCAAAAGTGTCCCGATGAGCCGCGTTGCATCGCACCTGTCCAGCAACACGAGTGTGTCTGGCCGGGACAGCGACAGCGATCGCACGGAAATGGAGAGCTACGAGATTGATTTGAACGCCGAGGACTTCAGTGCCGATACCCTGTCTAAGACGTCGACTATGCTCAACAATGGCGCGGCGCGTAAGATGACGGCCGAGGACTTTGAGCCCTTGATGTGCCTTGGAAAAGGTAGCTATGGCACCGTTTTGCTCGTCAGGCAGCGTGCCACTGGACGCCTTTTTGCCCAGAAACAGTTTAAGAAGGCTTCCATTACGGTGCATAAGAAGCTCATTGAGCAGACCAAGACGGAGCGCAATGTTCTGGAGAGTGTGAACCGCTACCCGTTCATCGTCAACTTCTACTACGCCTTCCAGGACCAAGAGAAGTTGTATCTTATTCTCGAATATGCTCAAGGCGGCGAGCTGTTCCATCACCTCGCTGCTGAGCGCATGTTTTCCGAGGACGTGGCAGCGTTTTACATGGCTGAAATGGTACTTGCGCTCGACCATCTGCACCGTACCGTTGGCGTCATCTACCGTGATCTGAAGCCCGAAAATTGTCTCTTGGATGCTGAAGGTCACCTGCTTCTTACTGACTTTGGTCTCAGCAAAGTCACGCTCGACGAAGACAACCCGTGCCGCTCTTTTCTCGGCACCGTAGAGTACATGGCGCCTGAGGTAGTGCAGGGCCTCGAGTACGGCGCAGCAGTAGATTGGTGGTCTCTGGGCGCCCTTGGCTTCGACCTGTTGACCGGCTCGCCCCCTTTCACGGGCAACAACAACGCAAAGATCCAGGAGAAGATTGTAAAGCAGAAGCTCTCGCTCCCGTACTACCTCAGTCCCGACGCCAAGGATCTTCTGACGCGCCTCATGCGCAAAGACCCTAAGAAGCGCCTCGGCTTCAACATGTCCAAGGATCTCCAGACCATCAAGAAGCACCGGTTTTTCCGCAAGATCGACTGGAAGAAGCTCGAGGCGAGGGAGCTAGATCCTCCGATTCAGCCTCTCATTACGGACCCAGAATTGGCGGAGAACTTTGCCCAGGACTTTACCGATTTGCCGCTCAGCCCCGTGCTGACCAAGAAGTTTGATGAGTCGCTCTTTGAGAGTCAAAACAACAATCCGTTTGGCGGGTTCAGCTTTGTGGCTAGTCAGAGCTTGCTTGACGGTGGAGAGTGGGGGTACTAGACGAGTAAAGATTTTGGGGGCAGTGTCTTGTGGGCGAGAGTGTGTTGCTATTATTTCTTCTTTTAGATGTTCAGTTACTGAGTTTTGAGTTTTACAAGTCGTGTTTTACTGGTTTGGTAGTTTGGAAGACGCGCAGTAGAGGAAGAGGTATCGTTGCATGAATGTGAATCATCAAGTTCGAATTGAAGGCAAACTACGTGTATTTTATTGTTCGCGTTGAGCTAGCACACCCGATCCATCCCAAACTCCACGCTCGTGTCGTCGGTATCATGCGCAAGTATCCACGAATACTATCAACTAAATATAGTAGGGAATCATCAAGAAGGAAAAGAGGCCCTGATGTATCTCTCAAAAAACACATCTAGGAAGTAGGGGCGGGAGCAGTAGCAGGCTCTCCAGGCTTCTCGCTCAGAGGCTGGCTGGGCTTCTCGCTGCCCTCGGCCGTGGTAGTGGTGACGGCGCCAGCGGCAGCACCCTCCTGACCAGCTGCCTTTTGCTTCTTAAGGTTGGCCAAATGCCTTGCCTCGTTGTGGACATCCATGACTGTCTTGTTGCCCTGCTCGTAGAAAGCGCGGAGCTTCTGGCCGGTAGGCGTTGAGGCGGCCTTGTCAAAGTAGCTGGTCAGCGTGTTGAAGGCAGCGTAGCCCTTGTTGGTGACGCCGAGCTTCTGGTCCACGACCTGGGCCCTCTGGGTAGCCTGCGTCTTCTTGTCGAAAGTGTCGATAAACGTCTTGAACTTTGTGCTGTAGCCGTTCTGCTTGTCGGCGGCCAGCGCGCGCTCAATGGCCTTGTCTGAGATGGCGTAGCCGTGGGCGAGGTACTCGGCAACGATGCGTGCGCGGGGCTTCTGCTCCTGCTCAATGTGGTGCTCGCCGTCCTTGGCCTCTTCGGCCGAGGCTGCCTTGTCGCCAGCCAGCTCGTCTAGGCTCTTAGCCGCAGTGACGCGGATGGCGTTGGGGCCGAGGTGCGTGTTGTCGAGGAGGAGAGCCGTCTTTGCGGCCGCTTCCTTTTCAAAGGTAATCGAGGCCGAGTGGGTGTCGTCGCCCGCGGGCTTTACACTGAGCGACTGGATCTTTCCGCAGAAGCTGAAGAAGACCTTGATCTCCTCTTCGGTCGTCTTGGTGGAAATGTTCTCGACGTTGACGGTGGAAGCCATGGTGAAGGACGTATGCTGAAGATGCTGAAGCTGATGCTGAAGCTGAGGTTGATGTTGCTGGGTCTTGGGGTGTGGTATAGCAGCAGCCAAGTCCAGGCCAGGAGTATTTGTAGTAGCAATGAGGGGCGGGATGCCAGCTCAGGGAGGGGCGCAGCCCGACGACGCAAGGGCAATGACGCAGGTGGGGCGGTGCTAGTGGCGGTGGCGTATAGGCGTCTAAATGGCGCACCCACACCCACACCCGTCTATGCCTATGCCTATCCCCCGCGGCAACATCACGAAGCGCCGCCTTACGACGGCCTTTTCTTCATGTGAAACTGCACTGCCGCACGGCACGCCATCTTTCCCTGCATGTCTAGAGGCAAAGGCGCATCGTGGCAAGAGCGCTCCATGCATACGCGCGTAAAGATGCTCGCATGTAATCATGTCTGGAGCCGCAAAGCAGACACAGTCGCCCACATCTACATAAGCACGGCATTACTTGGAGAATCGCCGCCTTGCATAGTATGCACGCACAATGAGACAGCGATTCCATGGACAGCAAGCGAATTCACCAGTGTGGACGAGAATGCAGCTCGTCCTGGAGCTCCATTGCTCCATTGCTCCACCAAACCTCGGCATGAGCTAACGTCATAGCTCCGTTATTTCCAAAGCACCTGGCGTGAGCACCACCCATGGGCCCTCGGCTCTTGGAAACACCTTCTTCATCATATCAAAACCAGCAATGGCCTCCAGATTGATCTCCTCGTCTCCGCGAGCTGCGCAAGCGTGCCTCCGTCGCTCGCAGAACTTTGCGCCAGCCGTGTTGCGACCCGCACAGCGCCGCTACATCTCTGCATATGGCTACGAACAAGCAAAAGCCCTTACGTTTGCCGAATATGGAGATCCCCCAGCCGTACTCTCCCTGCATAGTCACTCTATATCACCGCCTCACAGCAACCTTATGACCCTACGATTCCTCGCGTCTCCCATCAACCCCGCCGACATCAACCAGATCCAAGGCGTTTACCCTTCAAAGCCTAGATTCACCACCGACCTGAGTACTCCGAACCCAATTGCCGTAGCGGGAAACGAGGGCGTCGCAGAAATCATTGCGTTAGGTGAGGGGGTGAAAAAGGAGGGTTTCAAAAAGGGCGACTGGGTGTTCATGAAAGGACCTGGCTTTGGAACATGGCGTACCCACGCAAGCGCCACAACCAACGACGTAGTGAAGCTCGACGACCAGATGCGCGAAGGTATCACCGCGATCCAGGCTGGCACTGTCTCCATTAACCCGTGCACCGCATACCGCATGCTCCGCGACTTCACCACCCTCTCCGAAGGCGACTGGTTCATACAAAACGGCGCAAACTCTGGTGTTGGCCGCGCAGCTATCCAGCTAGGCCGGAAGTGGGGCTACAAGAGCATCAACGTGATTCGAAGCCGTGACGACAAGAGCAAAGAAGAGGCTATGAAGAAGGAACTGCAAAATCTCGGCGCAGATGTTGTCATTACGGATGAAGAGCTGCAATCGCAAGGCATCAAAGATCAGGTCAAAGAATGGACGAATGGTGGCCGTTCACCTATTCGCCTAGCACTCAACTGCGTAAACGGAAAGGCAGCAATCGCAATGGCCAAACTGCTCTCTTCATCCGCGCATTACGTTACCTATGGCGCCATGTCCAAGCAGCCCTTGACCATTCCTGCATCCATGCTCATCTTCAAGGACATTCACTTCCATGGATTCTGGGTAAGCAGATGGGCCGAAAAGCATCCAGAAGAGAAGCAGAAGACTGTTGCCGATGTCCTGGATATGACGAGAAAGGGCGAGTTTAGAGATATGCCTGTGGACGAGATCAAGTGGGAGTGGGAAACAAAGGGCGAGGAATTGATTGCCAAGGTCAAGGACACGTTGGAGGGATACAGAGACGGCAAGGGCATTTTTGTATTTGGCAAGACATGAATGTGTAGTTGATATTGAATGATACTACAGCGATATCCGGCACTCTATGTACATCTTACTGCTTGTCTATTGCAAAAGCACTCTTGACCCATTATTCGGCAGCGGCGCTCTAAACAGCACAAACGGCCTCTTTCTGCGGTCCGTCCCTGGGTAAAACGACGAGCTAAACGCAAGCTGGTTGTCTGTGAAATAAAGGTACCCATCGCTTCCCACCGACACTGTGACATTGACGTTAGCCCACGCACATCAAGACTCGAAAAGACAGAAAGAATGAAAGCAAGAACTCACTCGTATCCACCCAACTAATCCTCGGATCCCTGACAAAAACACCCATGGAAGCATTCGCAGCATCATACACGCCAATCGCATTCTGCTCCATATTCCCCGCATATATCAACGCATTGGTATCCGTCTCAAACCCATCGCTAACGCCCCTCTCCCCACGCCGACTCAGCGCGGCGCGCGCCCTCAATTCAGAGCTCTGCCCGCGATCCCGCAGCCGCTCCGTCGGCACACTGTACAGCGCTCTGCCGCCAACGGGTCCAAAATACAGATCCGCGCCATCTGCCGTCAGCGCAATGCCATCGCTGCCAAGCGGGACTGTAGCCAGCGGCATCCCCGGACCAGGAATATAGTACAGCGGGTGCCCCCATACATACGGCACAAACCCCGGTTCCGCACGCGTCTCTGGGATACCGTCGAGATGCCGCCAGGAGTCATTTGTGCCCAGGTCCACGACCACGATGCCGTTGCGGCCTTCGCTCGAGGAATCGGTAATGTAGGCTACGCCTTTTCCAGACGCTGTTAATGGGGCCCGTAGGTCGAACCGCACGTCGTTGAGATACGATGTCGGGTATGCGACTGTAGGTGGGAAGACAATGGTTTGCATCACCGTGTTGGACGAGATGTCTACGCAGACGAGTTTCGCGCCGCCGGGAGATGCTGCGACGAGCACGCCATCCGGTGTGAGTGCGCGCCCTGTATCCAGGATCCAGAGCCGGTCCTGCGCGTCGAGAACAACGCTTTGCACGCCGAGTAGGTAGTCGGCGTAGTTTGCGCCTACGGGCGGCGACACGGTGTAGTTGATTGCGCCTGTGGGAGGGCTGTTGATTCCAGCATTTGGATATGGGATTTCGGTTCCGTTGGCGAGCAGCTCGGCGACGGCGTGCTTCTTGTTGCTATTGGTGCCTGTGTTGGTGTTGTTGGCATCGAGGCCTGAGGGGTAGTTTGAGAATTTCCGCCCGGTCTTGGACACGGTGATGCCTAGGCAGTGTTTAGCTGTGAAATTGTATTCTTCAAATCAATGTGGTAGGGTACCGGTTGGCCATTGGTCGTGGTATAGGTGCACAATTTCGAGTGATGGGCCTGCGATACCAGAGTCGGAGCGGAGTTGCTGTGCGTTTGAGAGCACAGCGAGCAATGCCGTTAGAATAGAGAGCGACAACATTGCTACAATGATCATGTATCGGCAGCTTGTGCAATCACGCCCGCCATTGTAAGTATAAATACCCCCGCATCTTGCACGTCAACTGCGAAAAGTGACCTCAGATGGCATTTGAGACATGGCCGGCATTCCACCAGTCTTCACGTCATGCACATGTCAGGTACGGGGCTGATCAACAATCATAGGCCATTTCATCTGCATTCGAGGCTGTGTCCAAGAGGAGCTACCTGCTTGCGGTTTAGATACTTCAACGGCTCACCCCGCTTTGTGATGCAGCATGACATTGGCGGTGGCGGCACGGCGCGAACAGGACTAGACGGGGGTGCCCGTTTTGGAACGGCAGCCGCAGTGCATTTAAACTTTTGGTGACGCTGAAGCAGTGCACAGCTGTTGCTCACTATCCAACCCAGCTCTTAATAACCTCCCTCAGAGATGTACTGTCCTGTTTACCACTCCATGTATGCGATTGCTCTGCATCTTCAGATTTTGGTGGTGCATCTACAGCCAACTTTGCAACCTTGAGTACTCCGTCATTGAACTCAATCTTGATATCCTTGTAAGACGGTGCACCTTTCTTTGCATCCTTGATTTGAATCGAGAGCCGCGCATCCTGGCTTCTGGCCTGCGCGCGTGAAGAGTAGTCGTTCTTGAGTAGTCTATGGGCAATGTGCAGCGAAAGGATCCAGTCCAGGTACGACTTTATTTCCTCGACAGTAGCAAACTTTTGCTGATGGAACAATCCAAGATCGGAGCTCAGGGTAGATGGAAGGGTCAGCCTGTGTTCAGTGCCGAAAGTCGGTTGGCCAATGATGGTACGTGTGGCAATGCTGAGAATTTCCGATTGCGCGCTGTGTGAAGTGGGAAGGGCCAAAGTAGCTGTTCCGTCAAATGGCTTCATGAAAATCTCAAAGAGCTGATCCGTAGCCGATAGTCCTTTTTTGGACGACGCTTCCAAGCTCCCAACGAGCTTTGCCCACGAAGTCTCACGTGTCGTGTCGAGTGTCACATCCAGACCGGCGCTGAGCAGCGTCTGAGCGACGGATGCGAGATAGGCGTAAAGCGAATCCACGCCCTCAATGTGGTGAAGTACCGCAAGAAGGGTGCGGAGTAAGGGTGGTGGCGGCTTTTCGCGTGTTCGTCCCGTCAGCGGAGGCGGGAGCTGCGATCTCCGGTAGAGACGCATACTATGCTCGTGGGCCAGTAGGAGGCGGAGCGCCTCGGCAATGTTTCTAGCGAGCCAATCGTGCTCGTGAGATTGGCTGCTCGGTATAGGGTCGTCTCGGGGTACGCAGTCGATGAGCAACTTTCGGCTTGGCGAGCTGCCCGTTTGAGGCACGTCGACATAAATGACAGAGTCCCGGAAGCTGACACCGTATGCTAACAATTGTCGCGTCTCCAGGCTCATCTCGTAATACAATTCCTCCTCGAGCAAAGAATCGCGCGCCAGCTGGATAGACTTTTCGAGCGATTGGCTGGCGAAATCTCCGCTAACGGGGAATTGGGACGTTCCTGTGATTTCGCCGTCGATACTGAGTCGGACACGGAGTATCTTTGGTTTCAGTGCGAGCGCTGGGTCCAGAATGATGCTGCCGTCTTTGTCCATCTGCAGAGGGGCAAAGCCACGGGCTTTGAAGTGGTCACTCGCTGGGCTCCTGTTAGCACAGATACAGCTTATTGCATGGACAAACGCTACCTTCTGGTAGTCCGTAGCGCACAGCGAAGGGCGCATGACGCACGTTTTGGCGCAGGCGCTGGATGGGCCAGCCCTTGTCCGAGATGGAGACAATCTCGTGCCAGTACTTTGTCTCTCGCCGGATTTCCTTCTCCAAGTGTTTTGCGGCCTTGAGTATGTCGTCGACGGATGAGTCGAGCGCGTCCATGCGTGCGCCTTGGGCGACCACCTCCTGTCTGGCCTCGACGTCCTGCAGTCTCTGCTGCTCTTCGGGCTTGCGGATGCGGTGCTCGTGGTTCTCCCTGCTCATGCCAAACGACCCCAGAGGGATGCCCTGGTTCAGGCCCTGTTCGCGAAAGGTGGGGCTGAAGAAGTTGAGGCTGCGCTTGTTGGGGTCTTGGGAGAGCACGAGAGAGACAAGGTCGAGCGCATTGGTGGCGGCAAACTTGGCCCATCTGCCTGTCGTCAGCTGCCGCGTCGTGGGCGTGGATATGCGCGGTCGACCTACTCCAAGTGGCTGTACATGTCCTGGCCAGCTTTGAACACCTTGTCAATCTGCTCCTGGCGCGACGGCGCGTCCTTGTCCTTGTCCTTTTCCTTTTCGTGCTCGCCGTGCTTGGCTGCATGGTCGGCACCGTCGGGCACGTCTTTGCCCGCGTCAATGTCTTCCTGCAGCGACTGCTCGGTGATGTTGCGCAGGTGGCCGCGCTCGCTCGCCAGCTGCTCGATCTTGAGCAGCAGGTCGTCCTGGGTCAGCTCGTCCTTGTCGGAAGCGGGCCATGGGCGCAGGGCGACGTTGTTCAGCGGATCCATGGCGGCGAGGGGCCGGACAGAGGTTGAGGTTGAGGTTGAGGTGCAGTGGTTTGTCGGGCGTGGTGGGCCCTTGCATAAAGTCGGAGCTCTCAGTAGCAGTAGCGGCCGTTGCTAAGTAGTAGATCCCCCGCTTACCGAGTGTACAGCAGTGGTGGGTAGGCCTCCCTTTGGACACGGAACCACGGGGCCTTTTGCGTTGCATCCGGCATCTGGGCGGGCGGGCTGGCAGCAATTGGATCCGGCGCCGCCATGTACACAGCGTCTGGGTAGGTCTATGTAGTGCGCCCTTGTGCGGGGACGCGGCAGCGTCACATGTGCATGGACTCTGCCCTCTCCGGCCACTAGCGGCGGACTCCGATAAGCTTGGACATACATACAGCCTCAACCACATTGCCAACAGCTGCCAGCTCGTCGTCTCCTTCTCTCCTATTTCCTCGCGTGGACCCCTTTAGGCTCAATCAACATGACGACAAGATACCGTGTAGAGTGTAAGTATTGGCGCTCCCGACGCCCATGCCAGCTCCTGCACAGCGACCACCATGCTGACCTAATGACGTCTGTTTGTAGATGCTCTCAAGGTGGGTGGATGCCGTGTGGTCAATTCGACATGTAGCAATGTACCGCTGACGCATTGGAAAGACGCATCGAAGGGATCAGCTTGTGAGTGTGGCATTGTCCATTCCCCGCTTTCGCTAACACCAGTGCCAGATTGAATGGATCAAGGTAACACCAAGTGCGCATAGAGAGTTGCAGTGGCCAGTTCTCATGAGAAGCAGGGTCTTCTAGCTGTTCCTTTTGTGCTGCACTCGCATCCCACGGCCGTGTTTGAGCCCGACGGCGAATCGGTTGAACACCAAGCCAACATTGCCCAGCGGCGGTATGCCGAGATTCTGCGCGATGTCGAGGAGATTATCAATGATCACAGTGAGTGACTGCAATACACGTTTGGTTGGAAATTGAAGGGTTTGTTTACTGACATGTCACAGTTCAGCACCAAAAGGACAACAAGCCAGACCGATCGAAACTGAAGCTCCTTGTTCCGTCCGTGGCAAACTTCTTTACGCCACTCGCACTGCACGACGCCTTTGTATGGCAAGACCAACGGCGCTTCATCAGCCACCGGCGCTTCGTGCCGCCTTCTTTCAACGACGTCCGTCTGGTTCTCAACACGGCGCAGGTAATGAGTCTTATCCGCAGCGGCCCACTGGAGCTCGTGACGTTTGACGGAGATGTTACGTTGTACGACGACGGAAAAAACCTCGAGCCAGAAAACCCAATCATTCCCAAGATTCTGCAGCTGATGCGGCGCGGATCCAAGATTGGCATTGTCACAGCCGCTGGGTACACGGAAGCGAAGCCATATTACGGAAGGCTGCACGGGCTGCTCGATGCCATTCAGGCGTCTGACCTACCTCGCGAGGCTCGGCAGAACCTGCTCATTATGGGTGGCGAGAGCAACTTTTGCTTCAAGTTTGACGAAAACAGCCCGGTTCTGCTGCGGCTGGTGCCGAGAGAAGAGTGGCTGCTGGAAGAGATGGTTTTGTGGCACGAGTCAGATATCAAGGAGCTCCTGGATCTTGCCGAGGCGTCTCTGCGGGACACGATCAGAAACTTCCGCATGGAGGCCAACGTGGTGCGCAAGGAGCGGGCGGTGGGGATTGTGCCCAAGGCAGGATACAAGTTTTGCCGCGAGACGCTCGAGGAGACGGTCTTGATTGTGCAGAAGATACTGGTATGGGGAGGGGATGCGGATGCGGCGAGTGGGATTCGCATGCTGACAGCAGTGTAGGAAATTTCCGAGGTGGGCCAGCGGCTGCCGTTCTGTGCGTTCAACGGTATGTCCCCAGGCCGCGGCCCGGCGCAGGGTGTTGCTAACCACAAGGCAGGGGGAAACGACGTATTTGTGGATATCGGCGACAAGTCGTGGGGGGTGTTGGCGTGTCAGCGGATTTTTGGAGGGATTGCAGGCAGCAAGACGCTGCACGTGGGCGACCAGTTCCTCAGCGCGGGGGCCAACGACTTCAAGGCGCGGCTGGCGTGCACGACGGCGTGGATTGCGAACCCGCTGGAGACGTGCCAGCTGCTGGACGAGATTAGCGAGCTGGACGAGATTCACCAGCGCAAGACGCGATAGCGGAGTGTAGTGTATGCATGGACATGGCAGTAGTTGGTACATGGATTGTGCATGGCCACGGCAATGACATCAGCACAGTTCCGAAGCTAGAGCTGGGCGGGCTAGAGGCAGAAAATTGATATTGCCATGGCAGAGTCCGAGTTGGTGCACCCTGTCGTGATGGCGTGGCGGGCATGTAGCGACGAGGTCAGCATGTAACGTAGAGACGCGTCCAGGCGGTAGAAACGAGGTCAGCATGTAGAGGCGCGGCAAGGCTATTTTTTTCCTGGTTGGGGTGCATGCAGGCGTGGGCGTGGGCGTGGGCGGCCCTGGCTGGGCGGCCGGCTATACCTGGCCGCTATAAGACGCCCCACCGCGTATTCTGGGTGTGGTTCGGGCAGGCCACGCTACATGCTGCGCCCATATGTACATACATACTACTTACACGGCCATACACATGTATATAGACGGACAGATGTGTCCACTCCACGTACACATGCGCGCGCACTATGCATCGCGGTGCGTGCATGGCGTCGCTCCATTGCGACCTTGTGCGTGCCTGGACGGTCCGAGGCGTCGGTTGCGTCGTCGGCCTGGCCATACACACACACACGCTTGGGCTGCGCCGCTGGGCCCCCCGGCCGCCATGCACGCCCTCCTGAAGCTCCCGTCCGCCGGCGCCGTTTGCCCTGGCGGTATGCTGCTGGTCGTGCTGGTCGTGCTGCTTCTTGCTGGGCCTGCTGCTCCTTCACCCTGCCTAGTGCCGCCCGACCCTCCTCGTCGACTGCTGCTGCTGCTGCTCCCCCACAGCACTCTCTCTCGCTCTCTCTGCCTCTGCTCCCTCACTCCACAACAAGCCCTCCCGCCGCCCGCCGCCCGCGACGCGCCCCAACCACACCCACACCCACATACACATACACACACATACACACACGCTCACTTCGCCATGTCGTCGAGCAAGTTCTCGTACAAGCCATTGACGCTGACCCCCATCAACTTCTCCCTCACCGAGGGCACCTCGATACCCGCGCCCCTCGACAGCCCCCCCGACACGCCTCGCCCCCCGACGCCTGGACGCGGCCCGCTCTCGTCGCATCCCACGCCCAAGTCGCCCGACTCACCGCCCCAGAGAGACTCGCCCCAGAGAGACTCGCCCGAGAGAGACTCGCCGCCGCCTGAAAAGCCCTTGGACGACGCGCCCTCGCCCGATGTCCACACGCGACCCGGCCGCACAAGCGACGCCGCCAGCAGCACCATCTCGCCCGCCAGTCCTACCGGCAAGCGCCCGGCCTCTGTTCGCAAGTTCCTAGGCATTCGCACCCTCTCCTCTTCAGACAGCCTCAAGTCGGACCGCCCGGGCTCGCCTGCCACCATCAACAGCCAGGCCCCCAGCCTAAACAGGAGGAAGAGCGGCAGCTGGTTTGGCAAGCGCAAGACCTTCATTGCTGGCCCCGTCCCTGAAGGCCACGTGGACCCGCCTGCCTACGCCGCCGCTCGCACCGTCTCCCAGCCACAGCCTGCACCGCCCTCGCGCAAGTCAAACGACCCCCCGCCGCCAGCCCTGCCTGGCCTGAGCTCCTTTGGCCTCAGCGAGGACTCGCTCAGCCTCAGCGCCGACGAGCTCTTCAAGAACATTGGCAAGAACGACGACCTCTACAAGTCGACTTCAAAGCCCAATGGAAACTCCACTCATGGCAAGTCGACAAAATGGGAGCTCTAGGAAAAATTAATAATACCCATGCTGGCACAAGACCCACCGTGGTACGAGGTATGGGGAAAGAGTCAAGGAGAAAAGAGTCATGTCCATGAACGCATTCTTAACGCGATCTTCCAGTTTATTTGTTTGTTTGTTTTTCTGACTGCTTATCTTTTTTGCTTTTTTTAACGCCCCCATCTTCACCACATACATATTAAACTGCACCACCACCACCACTACCCCCCGCCCCCTTTCACGACATCCCAAGGCCACAGGTTGGAACGTTTTTTGTTTTATTTGCTTCGAACATCTGTGGCGTCAATCTTCTCGTTTTTTTTATTCCTTCTTTTGGCTTGCATGTGTATGTGTTGTGTATAGTTAGTAGACCTACTATGCCACACAACGCACAAACAATCACGATACCCCCTCAGTCGATAACCGGTATAGCAAATGGAACACAAGAAAGAGAGAGAGAGAGAGAGAGAGAGAGAGAGAGAGAGAGAAAGAGACAGGAACGTGGCGTCGTCGTCGTCGTCGTCGTCATCGTCGTCGAGGGCACAGCAAAAGAAAGTGGAAAGACCAGGAATAAGAAGACGATATACTTTATTTTATGCACAACGGGAGGAGGGAAGCAAAGGAAACATTTTTTTTATTATTCAATGCAATTCACTTCTTCAGGTCCCTACTTGGGCTTGCTGCTTCTTTATTCTCGTTTTCTCTCATATCATTCTCTATTTACGGCGAAAAGCACATTTCCACTATTGCGTGTAATGAGTGAACCGTTATTATACCTAGTAGCCATAAATCATATAATACTAACTACCCTACCACATCTCCTAAACACATAAACTACTTGTTTGGTTATCCCTTCGTTGCTTCGCCAGTTCGGTTCCCTTTAGCTCTCCCTTCTTACCTTTTTTTTCTTTTTTACTTCTTCCCGTCCTCCGGTCCCAAACTTTTGCCCCTCAACCCACGTGTCTACCAACCACGATTTACCCCTAAACTAACTAACGAACGAGCCGCGCCATATCCCGTCCCTTGGTACCCTAGCCCCCACCATTCCCGTTATTTTTCCTTCCTTCCTTTCTAGGCGTAGTTTCTAGTCCCCCTCCGTTCATATATCTATCTATCTATCCCGTCGTCCTCTTGTTTTGAAATCCCCATCCTTTTTCTCTCTCTATCCCTCTATTCCACCATCTCTAACATTACCATTACCTTATTTCCTTTGTTGTTGCTACTGCTGTTTCACGCGATAGCTTCAGCTTGACCTCTAGCTTCACTCACTCACACATACATGCACACGACTATCGTTTCGTTGAATCGTGCGACACACACACACACACATTATCCATTCATCCACCCATTCACCCATTCACCCATCTTACAACCTAAATTCTACCTTAGCCCTACCTCCTTCCACCCTTCTATCCTTTCCTGTTTTCCTCACATCCCACCCCCCACCACCATATCACATCCCATCACAAAACAACAACAACAACAACAACAATCCGCCTACGCACGTATCCCCGTTTTCCACGCGTGATATCATCCTACGCATATATGCATATCATACACACATAACACTCGATGATACACGTTTCACAAGTGCAAGCATCCTTAGTCTATACCATCAATCCCAGTTCCTTAATAACACACTTACCCATATACACAGACACAGACACTAAACTCTATTCAAAAGGAACATGGGAGAGCAAAAAACCAATTGTAGATCATACTATACTATCCTGGTTCAATTAATGTTATAGTATGCTTTCTATCTATCCATCTATCCATCTATCTATATTAATATTAACAACAACACATAGTTATAGTAAACATGATAAACAGGTAAAAACATCATTCCTTATCATTATCATTATTACTAATCTTCTTGTTTCAATCTTCAAATACCCATCCTTGTTCTCGATCCATCATCATGCCCCATGATATTATCCTCGCATAAATCCCGACCCTCGAAATAGCAAATCATACACATTCTAGACAAACAAAAGAACAATAAAGAGAGAGAGAGAGAGAAAGACAATCCTGGAAAGAAAGAACAAGCGAGGGCGACAAAAGTGTGTATGTGTGTGTGTGTGTGTGAATAACGTACAACACTACCGCCAAACTTCAACTGCTTCGAAAAAAAAACTCTTACAAAAATGACAGCTATCTCACCAGCACAACGAGTATACGAGAAAAAAAGAGAATAGAAAGCAATTGTTGCCCACTCGCGGAATCGAACCGCGGATCTTCGCATTTCATAGATGATTACGAGTGCGACGCTGTACCACTAAGCCAAGCGGGCTGTTATTGCTTTGATGGAACAACTCATTTGCCGCATAAATATAAAGCAAGATGTTGACATGCCCGAACCGAGTGTCGAGAAGCTCAAGTGGGACTGGGCGGATCGAGTTGGGAAAAGTGGATAACAACCACAACCACAACCACAACCACTCAGGTGGGGCAACGAGGATAACCCCCGCCACTTTGCTTCTCAGGTAGATTACCTACGCATCACCATTTTTTTTCGGTCGTTGCAACAAGTCTTCTTAATCATGCACAATTATTGACATGCATCAAGACGCTGATTGTCATTGTATGTATATGTGTAATATCCTACAGAAAAAAAACCCCCCCAAAAAAAACCAGAAATGTGCATTGTCATCCAGCTTTTGCTACGCTGCTACTTTTTGTGACTTGCCACCAATCAACGCCAGGATATTACTGAAAAGACCCTGAGGCGGTGGGGGAACAGAGCCGTCGTGAAGCACGTTCTGCAGGTCTTGCATGTTGAAGACGTGCTCATCGCGCTCAATATCCTGCGTGAGGTCTTCCGAGGCAACAAGATTGGCCAGAGGTCGGTCGGACTCGTCGTCTTCATCTTCTTCCATCTCTTCTGGGTAGGCGATGCGAGATGACGCAGACTGCTCCTCGGGAGGCGGGGTAAGGAGTTGCAGGGGACCAGCGCTTGGGCTAATGGTCTTGAGACAAGACCGCGAGTCGAGGACAATGTAGCCGCCCTCGCTCCTTCGAGATGCTAGAGCCAGAGTGATCGGTGAAAATGTCTCTTTCCATACTGCTCTCTGGTGCTCTGGGTTGTAGATGAAGATCTTGGATGATGCCTTCTTGACCTTGGAACCGGATGATTCAAGCCGGGGCAGCGAAACGGCAAACGTTCCGTCTGCTTCGTTGGCAGCAAGCCGAACCAGTGGTACCCGCTCTAGACGGTCAAGACCAGGAGTCTCCATGGGAGCAGTGTACGCAAGCTGGTCGGCAACCATGTCCCAGACAGTAATAGCATCTGCAACTACTACCAGGTGCTGTCCGACAAATCCGAGACCAGACAGGGCAGTCACATCTATCTCGGTCAGTGACCGGCGAATAGTCGCGTTGTTGGCGTCAATCAGATGCGTAACTCCGGCGTCCTCTTCAAAATCCCAGGAAATCGATGCAGCCAGAACAGATCCATCTGCAGAAAAGGCCAGCCGCGATGTGCGTGGTGGTAACGCTTGTTGTGAGCCTTCGCTAAGGTCGAGCTTGTCGCTCATCTCAATCGCGTGATCCTGCGACCAAGTGACCAGTCCTTCTTGTTGAGCACCGCGAACAATGACGCCATCGCGTGTTCGGGTCTTCGGTCTCCATATCCTTACAACATGGTCCTCGCCGACAGTCGCAAAGCCGGCAGCAGACGGATCAGCGACAAGATCAAAGACGTGGCCATTACCACATCTATCTTCGAAGAAATGTGGCGCGTCAATTCGAGTTTCCAACTTCCACTGTCCACTGCTGTTGTCGCGTCGCCATATCTTCAGGTACACCTCTCGACGGTTCAAGCGTTCTTGCTCGTTGAACTCAGGAACGCCTTCATTTAGGTACCGAGTGTCTGATTTTGGCGGAACCCACTCATCAATCGTCGCAAGCCATTCTCCGTCGTGGCTGATATGCATGTGTGTCACGTTGGGCTCTTTGATCCGGCCGCCGTCAGGAGCAACATTAGGCTCTGTTGCATTGTTGCGTGTCAGCGCCTGTCGACTCTTGGCACGCTGATTCGCAAGATCGAATGTTTGCAGGTATGGCTCTGTTCTGAATCCTCCCTTCTTTTGACGAGGCTGCGATGAAGGCACTGCGAATGACACTTCGTTGGGGTTCGTTGGGTCGACAGCCATGGGCACTGCTTCAAAGATGCCGAGATATGCTTTGCCAGACTTGGTCTCTTTGGGCATCTGCTCAGGATCGATTCGTCGAGATTGGATGCCAACAATGTTGCTTCGCGCCTCGAGCTCGGTCGTTGACAAAACAATGACAGAGTTGTTGGCTAGTGTCAAGGCATAAGCCGATCCTGTAGGAGAAACTACAATGTTCTCAATGGCTGCCGACAAGTGGGGGAGGTGCTGCGGTTGCCCTGTAGCAAGCTGCCAGATTGTGAGAACAGTCTCATCACCACCAGAGATGAGGTAATTGCCTGGAAGTGTCAGTTGTTGCATACAAGCAGAGAAGACGAGAATGATTACCGTCTAATGACCACTTGATGGATCCCAGTGCGTCTCTGTGCCAGTGAAGTCGCTTGGGCCTGAGGCTCTCAGCAGTATCCGTCCTCTCCTTTTTGCTCTTCTGGGCGCTTTCAATCGCAGCAAACGAGGTGAGAATGTCTTCAAACAACAGGATGAGACCAGTCTCTTCACCAACCGCAATGTCCAGGATGTCTCTTTGATCCTGAGCAACCTTCTTTCCGTTGGTGGTTTCCTGCTCGCGGTGGTAGACGTTGAAGGTAGTGATATGCTTCGAAAACTTCAGCTCACGCCAGACATATTCAAATTCGTGGAGCGCTGTCTTGGTAATCTTTACGCGCTTGCCGACAATGAGAGAATCGGTTGTTGCGACGACAACATACTTGCCCTGCAGAAGCACCTGAACACCGCGAATGGCAGAGCTCGTGTTCAGTATCTGCTTGAGCTCCGCTTTGAGTTCCTTGTTCGAACTTGAGCGGTTGGAGCGGAGGACGCGGATCGTGAGGCTGTGGCCGTCGTCGGCTTCATGGCAGTACACCAGATCCTCATCAGACTCGGGCTGTGCAACAACGGCCATGCTTTGAACTGTAGCGCCGATATGCCATTGCCCAGTCTTTCTTCCTGTTACCCAGTCCCACATTATGATTTGTCCGGATGAGTAGGCAACATAGACCAGGTGAGGAGCCACAGCCGACAGAGCATAAGCTGTGAGTACTCTAGTATCGTCTTCGGAGAGCGCGTGGACAAGCAGGGATGTATCTGCGGCATAGATGCGCAGCGATTTGGGGTCCGCGATAATCAGATACTTTTCATCTGTGGAGAATACAGGATCCGTTGGCAAGTACCATCCTCCTTGAGCCGGAGAGGTGACCCATGTTTCAGAATTTTTGCCCTTCTTCTTCCTCACTATTCCGGATGCTTCGGTCGTGATTAGGTTGCTGCGCTCTGCCTTGTTCTTCTCTTTCCTCTCCTTCTTGGCCTTCTTTCGCTCTGCATTGTCCACCACATTGGATACACCGTCTGTCTTCTCGTCCTCGACTTGCACTACTTCGCCAGCATCTCCGTTGACCGTTGCGCTTGCAGCCTGTGCTTCACTCGGGTCAACAGACCCATTCTGCTGTGCTTGCGACTTCTTGGCTTTCTGCGCATTCGTGGGAGTACCAATGACAGCGTCTTTGTCCACACCATTCGTCTGGGGCGCCGATTTCGATTGCTTCTTTGTGGTAGGCGTATCCTTAGATTTGGGTGTCGAATCAGCCGCGGAGACTGTAGATTCGCCATTGCGACTGTCCTTGAGCGCGGCCGCCGCTTCGTCTTTCCTCTGCTTCTTCGCCTTTTTCTGTGCCGCTGCCTCCTCTCTCTTCCGTTTCAATTGGGGAGCTACGTCGGCCATGATCGCTACGCCTCCAGGCAAGCTCGGTGTGAGAATTCAGAAAAAGTGAGGATTGTCGTGAATGTTCGGGTCAAGACGTATGTAGAGAATCTTTTTTGATGGAGCTTGGCCCGAGCTTTTCACCGCCCGCGTTCTTAGCGCGCCCGCAACTTTCTTTGAGACGGCATCGCGAACGTTGCGCACCACCCACCCCAACTCCGCTTTAGTCTTGCGCTGTCTTGTGCCTACTTTGCCGCGGTCGCAAATCTAGAAGTCGCCTCTCGATATCTGGAATATTCAAAATGATTGTTCCTATCCGTTGCTTTTCTTGTGGCAAGGTACCATCACTCCCACACCGAGCTCATGCGCGCATATACTGATCTGGCTCTAGGTCACCGGCGACCTCTGGGAGAAATACATGTCACTTCTTAGCGACGGCATGGAAGAAGCGTAAGCGCGTTAAATTTCTCTTGACCTTCCGCCGACCCCAACACCTTTTTCAAGACCCAGTCCAGGTCGACGATTCACCAAGCCTGCACATGCACATCCTGAGCCACCTTCGCCTCTACACTCTGCTAACAAACACACCTATAGTGAAGCACTCGATAGTGTCGGTCTTCAGCGTTACTGCTGCCGCCGTATGATCCTCACCCACGTCGACCTGATCGAGAAGCTCCTCAAGTACGTCCCTAGTTTCGAACGCGCCGAATTGGCTCGAGAGACTCGCCGTCTCAATGCAGAGAGGCAGAGATCATGATTACGTCCCGGATAGAGGCTAACAACACTTCCAGGTACAACGCCAGCGAACGAGAACAAGCCCGTGCGGCCCGCGGAGGCCGGTAGTCGCCAGACGATGTAAACGAACAACTTGGAGTTTGGGTCGGGCATGCATTTTCATGGCAGGGCGTTTTTTAGGATGAAACACATTAGTTTGCGCCGGGAGGCTTTTCAAATATGGCTTAGAAATTTCATGGCATGAAGCGTGAGAGCGGCACGAGGGCCGTGTTGAGCCAGTTACACGCCCAATAGGATCTATACAAGCCATCTCAGACATTTGATATCTCAAACTAGCTATGTGAGCAGTCTTACGACTTCAAGAACATCATATCACTGGCCATCACGAACGGGCGAAGAATGTGCATTGCAACGAGAGTAGCGATATCACAAGAATTGCTGCCTAGGGAATCATCTGAATCATCTACTACTCATCAAACATCACACTTTCCTCCATCCTTGCCCCAATGTTCCTGTACCCACTCTGTCATGATATCCGTAAAGCTCTTTCCATCATCAAACGCCAGCGTATCCTCCACTTGACGCGTTTCACCTAGATATTCCAACGCCAACAGAACCCATTTCTCAATGAACTGATTGTACATCAGGTCAACCATCTCGGGTTCCTGATCTTTCTTGCTTGAAGGATCGAAACCAACAGCTGACTGGATGCAGTTTGGCACCTGATAGAAGGAGATTGGCTCGTGAATTGTATCATCGCCATCTGTACCAGCATCGTCTTTTGTAGTGTAGCCTGGAAATGGTTTGGCTTCGTCTCCAATGCTGCTGAGAGGTGCTTGGCCTTGTGCGGGCTTTGCAAAAGCATCTTCGAAGGTTCTAAGCATATGCGGTCTGGACTTTGCTGCCGAGACCTCTGGTGGCTGAAGCAATGCTCTGCTTTCCATCATTTCCATCAGAATCGGTCCCTCGTTATTGAGTAGCTTCAGAACTTGAGCTGCTTTCTTGTACGGTACATCCTTGATGTATCTAATCGCGCTGGTAAATGGCGAGACGAGGAATTTGGTATCTTTGGTAAAAGGACCCTTGAATATGTCGAAACGGATAGCACCCGTGTTTGTGAGAACCAGTGCCTTTCCTCCATCACGGATACGGCCGGATTTTTCAATCGCCTGGGGCAAGAGCTGTTCCTCAATCCAGGTAAAAATACTCTCGTTGTGTGGGTACGGCCTACGGCTGATCCATAGATCTTGTGGCGCGCAGCCATACACCTCTCCAAGACCTAGCGATTCTCGGGCATCGCCGATGGCTTTTGACACCTCCTTGCCGTGTTCGGTTGGGAAGGATTTGCTGTCTTTGCCGCTGTGGTGCTGCATGGAAAACAAATTGTTATCAATGTAGCGGCGTGAAAACGTAAGCTTCGAGCTTTCAGACCTATATGCTGCCTCTCTCTTTCCTCCTGCGTTGATCCCATCAATAGACATGAAGCCAATCGTCTCCATGTACCGACCGCTTTCAAGAGCTACCGACTTGTCGTCAAAGATCTTGTAGTCACGGATATGGGTATGTCCTCCAAAGAACTGGATGGGCGTGTCCCAATGCAAGGAGCGAATAGTAGAGAAGAGTAGCGCATACTCTTCAGAGCGGATATCGACATGACCAAACACAATGATGAGGTCGATTTCCGCGTCTTTGAGTGCTTCGGTAAACCACTCTTCCTTGACCGTATCTTCGACTCTATGAACGACACTGTTGTTGGCATTTCCCGTGAAATCAAATAGAAATCCAAAGGCTAGGATGCGGATTCCTTGGTTCTTCGTGGTAAACTTCTTGAAGCGCTGGGCCAAAGGTTGCAGTTTCCCGGTTTTTGGATTGTAAATATCAAGATTGGAAGCCAAGTAATTGCCCTTGAAATCTGGCACGGTGTGGAAAAATTCACCCTCAGCAGTATTGGCTTTGTAAAGCTCGTGGTTTCCGGAGCAAATAAGGTCGATGCTTTGCTCCTTGGCAATCTCGTAGGTGAACTTTCCCCGAGGCTTTGAGGAATCGTAGATCGCGTTGCCTTCGACTCGGTCTCCAGTGTCGATCAGCAGTAAATCCGATCCATCTGCATCTGCTTTTTCGCGCAGATGCTGAGCAAAGGAGACGTAGTCACCCCAGTCGGACGAGTAGGATGCTCTAATGCAGGTCAGAATTCCGCCATACCATGGATCATCGCAACGTGCACGAGAACGCGAAACACGGTAGACTAATTTTCTGCAGACAGAAACCAAACACTCTGCTAAAACAAACGTAGAGAAGGATCACGTACTCTTGCAAGTGGCCTCCCCACCAGCCGTGGATGTCGGTGGTGTGCAAGAAGTTGAGCTGTGCCCACGGAAGGTCACGCAGGGGAGCCGCTTTCGGCGGTGGCGCTTCCGGCTGGACGCAATAAGCCCCTTTCAGCAGAGCGGAAAGAACAATGAATTGGTGAAACATGTTGAATGAGCTGGCGACGTTGTGTTGTATTGTCCGCCCCCCTTCACTGAATGTGATTGCACTTAGGCACCATCTAGGCACCATCTAGGTACCAGCGGTGTGCCTGGGGATGTACGCTTCAAGCGTAAGACGTAAGCAGTCGGACGAGCGCTGTGCGAGACGATGAGAAAGGGAATGCAGCGGTGATGGAACAGGTTGATACGAGGGTCGGACGGTCGACGCGGTCAACGCGGTCGAAACATGGCGGTCAGCCAATGATGCCGCGACGTCCTCGGTGAATGGGCGACGGGCCGTGGCTGCAGGTCCAGCGCTCCACGAGCAGCCTAGCGCCAATCTTGCTAAATAGAGTTCAACATTTTTCCATAACGACAACACCAACCTCTCCCAGTCCAGTTTCCACCACAACCCACTTTACGCGCATCAAGTTTTTTTTGTCGCGCACCATGGCCCGGACTGCTGCATCTCGCGCTGCAAGTGCAAAGCCTGTGGAGAAGAAGAGCGCAAAAGAAGTCAAAGCCAATGGCACAGGTACGTCACATCTTATCGCGAGTATCGAAGCTCATACTAAAGCGCCGCGCAGCCCCACGGAAAGGCGCAAAGAAGGCCGAAGACGCGCCTGCTGCCAATGGTGTAGCCGAGGAGACTGAGCCTGCTGATGAAAAAACCGAAGAAGTCGAAGCTCCGGCAAAAAAGCGTAAGGGCGACGCGTCCAAGTCAGTGTCATCACTTACTGACCACTCTGCAGCTGCTGCACGTAGTCGCGCAAAGAAGACCGAGGCTCCTGCGGCCGAGACCAAGGCCGCGCCCAAGAAGACAACAAAGCGCAAGAAGGATGATGAAAGCGAGCTTGAAGCAGGCGAAGCTCCTGCGCCTGCTGTGAAGAAGGCCAAGGTGAACGGTACAAAGGCTGCGCCCAAGACCGCGCCAAAGGCCGCCCCTAAGCCTGCTCCCGAAGCCGCTCCCGAGGCTGCACCTGAACCTGCGCCCGAAGCCGCGCCCGAAGCCGCGCCAGAACCTTCGCCTGAATCCTCCTCCAAGGTCGAGTCCAAGGCCCCAACACCGGCGCCTGAGCCCAAGACCAAGGTTGATCCCGCTCTGGTCCCGAACCCCAAGGGCCCAAGACGCGCAAAGGGAAAGAAGACCGAGATCAATCCAATCCGCTACACTGAGCCTCTCAAGGTTTTCGTGTTTGGCGAGGGTGGTTCTGGTGAGCTTGGATTCGGTGCAACAAAGAAGGCTATTGATGTAAAGCGACCACGCTACAATGAGGCCCTTACCAACATGAACGTCGTCAGGATCGCTACCGGCGGCATGCACGTCGTGGCGCTGACAAAGGACAACAAGATCTTAACATGGGGTGTCAACGACAACGGCGCACTCGGACGTGACACGTCCGGCAGCACTATCAAGATGCGCGATGTTGATGCGGACGACGACTCGGACTCTGAAGACGAGACTGGCGGTCTGAACGACGAGGAGGCCACACCCAAGCCCGTTCCCGCTGAGTACTTCCCCGAAGACACCATATTTGTCGATGTTGCTGCTGGCGACAGCTGCTCTTTTGCGCTGACCACAGAGGGAGCGGTTTACGGATGGGGCACATTCCGCAAAAACGAAGGCATCCTTGGCTTCGAACGCGGCAACCACACTGCGCCACGTCCTGTCTACCTCGATAGCGTGAAGAAGGTTACACAGATTGTCTGCGGTACGAACCACGTCTATGTACTAGACAAGGACCGACACGTGTACGCATGGGGCAACGGACAACAGAACCAGCTTGGTCGCCGTGTAACCGAGCGCAACCTGCATCAGGCCCTGCAGCCCAACAGGATCGGCTTCCACGACGCCTCCATCAAGAGGCATAGCCAGCGAATCGCATCCATCGCATCCGGTGATTACCACGGTCTCGCCATTGCAGAGGACGGTCACATTTGGGCTTGGGGCGCAAACAACTACTGCGAAACTGGCTACACTGGTAATGCTGGTGCCGAAGATGCCAGTGTTCTCCAGCCCAAGATCATACACAGCCTCGAAGGCAAGAGCGTTGAGTCTCTGGCTGCGGGTGCGCACCACAACCTTGCCATCACCAAGGATGGCCAAGTGCTTGTTTGGGGTCGCTGCGACGGTTCACAGACGGGCATTCCTTCGTCGCAGCTCGAGGCCGAGACAGACGAGGAGAAGGTGTTGAAGAACAACGGAAAGCCGAAGATTGTCGTCGAACCCGTCGCCCTTCCAAATCTCAAGAACGTTGTCACTGGCGCGTGTGGACCTGACCACAGCATTGTCATTGACAAGGACGGCAAGGCCTACTCTTGGGGATTTTCAGCCAACTACCAAACCGGCCAGGGCACGGATGATGACATCGAGGTGCCAACCATGATTGACAACACAGCCGTTCGGGAGACGAAGCTTACCTGGGCCGGTTGCGGTGGTCAGTACAGCGTCCTCGCGAGCAAAAAGGAGTAAGCGGCATGGGCCGTGACAAGGAAGCCGCCCTTGGGGCTTTTGTTTTATTTGCTCGTTTTCACACATGTTCGTGTTTTCCCACCGGATTCAAGGTGTTTCAGACTGGCATTCACGGCGTTAGCGTATCTTATGGGCAGGCTTTTGCATAGCGGGGTACTCTCTTAGGCCAGAATTTACGCACTTTATCTTCACTCTCTCTATCTCTCACTCTCCCATTCTCTCTTTACGGTTGAACGACGCTAATGATGAGCTTCAATGCTTGGGTGGATGGAGGGCTCAGTAGTTTTTTTTTGTTTCCAAAAAAAAGTTTACTTGTAATAATCAAAATGCAATGCCTATTCTTGCCTTGATAAAGACGTTTTTTCCCGAACAGAAACATTGTCTCAGTCTACTACTGCTTTTGATTGGCTCAAGCTAGCATGCACCGACGGCCGAAAACGAGTCTGTGTTTGACCTAGCCTTGATCATTATGTGAATTGCTCAAGGTCATTTGTAGCATTTCAAGATGTCTTTTGCCCGCTACACGGCTTCCAGAAACCGCATCGAACACACATGCATTCCACGTTCATGTCTACATATTTTGTTACATTCCCTTATAATCTACACCCCGCGCCACACGCTGTCATGACGCCGGCGCCGCAGCATCCTGTGGCTTCGACTGGGCAAACGTCCTCTTCACATCATGATGGTCCATTATACTCTGGCCACCACCATTGCCCACGACGAGCAAATTCTCCTTATACGGATGAGCATTTCCCTCAAACGTCTTGAGGCGCGCGAGCCTCTCCTTCCTCAGGCGGTTCTTGGGCAACATGCCGCTGACGGCTTTGCGGAGGACCTCGCCGCCGCCCCATTTCTGCATGAGCTTGTCCATGGAGATTTCCTTGAGCGAGCCCGGGCGCGTCGTGTGTGTGCGGTACAGTTTCTGCGAGCGCTTCTTGCCCGTTGTGTGCAGCTGCGCGCAGTTGGTGGCGACCACGTAGTCGCCGCAGTCGGTCGACGGGTCGAAGATTGGTTTGTGCTTGCCCATGAGTGTCAGGGCTATCGCCGAGGCGACTCGTCCGAGCGCCCGTGGGTCGCTGCCAATGTCGAGGTGGTGCCATGAGCGCGCGTAGGCCAGGCGCGTCTACATATCGGTGTTATTCGTGTGGAATCGGATGGGTATTTGCTCATTGGGCGTAGGAGAAGTGCTGCGAGGGCCTGGATATGGGCATGCGGAGGTCCGATGATAGACGTACCTTGCCTATAACTTGTGACATTGTGTGTTAGAAGGCCAACGGCCTGCGGGATCGGTCGTCTCCTTGCTTTGGATATAGCACCGATAGCCTCGGAGTTACCCAACAGGCGGCTCGGGTGGTGGGGGGTGCGGGCGGGCGGGCGGGCGTGGTCGTTGTCGTAGTGGCTGCGCAGTCGAGGTTGGATTGCCAAGACCAAGGCGAACAATTTCCAGAACGCAGTCACATGATTGATAAGATCGGCCCCAGACCGACACCCATGTTCGCGGGCGGGGAATAGAGCGGCATGGATTTCAAAGCGCATTAGAAAGGCAAAGTGGCATGCTCCTTACTCTGTACTTTGACGTCTCCTGATCCACACACAAGCAATTCAAGCTTCTTAGCATCTTACTTTTCCCACAATGACAGTACCTCCTTTCGAGACGATATTCGCAGTGCCTATGACATGCCAGTCATGCATCGACGACATTGAAGGCTCTCTCTACAAGTTGGGTGGTACGAGCGCCCGGTACCCATGCACGTCACTCGGGCACTGACAAGATACAGGCATCAACAAAGTCACGGCCGACCTCAAGGAACAACTTGTGTCGATTGAGGGCACAGCAGCACCGTCGGCGATTGTAGAGGCGATCCAAGCGACCGGGCGTGATGCGGTTCTGCGAGGATCGGGCAAATCAGACAGTGGGGAGCATCTTGACTCCGACATGCAATGCAGCTCTAACCGGACCTGTAGGCGCGGCAGTATGCATTCTAGAATCACACGCACCACAGGTAGAGAACAAGGTTCGCGGGCTGGTGCGCATGGTTGAAGTTGGGCCCAGTATGACGATCATCGACCTGAGTATCAGGGGACTGTCACCTGGAACCTACCATGCCACAGTAAGAGAGACGGGAGACATCTCCGAGGGACCGGAATCGACTGGCGGGATTTGGGAACTTGCACAGTCACAAAACGAAGGCAAGGCGTGTCGAGGTGTCTTTGGAACCGTTCAGGTTGGAAAAGGCGGAGTGGGATCGGTGTTTCTCGACAAAGCCATTCACATCTGGGAAACGATTGGGCGTAGCATTGTGGTCGCAAGAGAACAGGACGGCAAGGTAGGCGGAACCCATGTTGTTTAGCCTTGATCGAATCTGACCGGCTGCAGTTTGACAAGAACGACGCAGATACACTGGTTGGGGTCATTGCACGCAGCGCAGGCGTCTGGGATAGTAAGTGCCTCGTCCCCGTCCCCGTCCCCGTCCCCGTCGTGGCCATCGGGCTCGTCCTGGTCCTCGCCGGGCCCCCACATGTTCAGTGGTTTCGGCCAGTCGCATCTTGGAGAGGGCGTGTTGCTAACGCCTCGGCACGCCAGACGACAAGACGGTGTGCTCGTGCTCGGGCAAGACGGTGTGGCAGGAGCGCGAGGAGCAGCGCGACCGCGGCATGCTGTGAGGCTGGCCGCCACGCAGATAGAGCAAGCAATCATAGAGCCGGGTTAGAGCCGCGCAGCGATGCCATTGAGATAACGCGTGCACCTTGAAATCTAGGCCGAAACTAAGGCTGCGGGAACGACGTGTCTGCGAAGCTTGGTCTTGTCATGCGTTCATGCCTGGCAGCCCCAGGCGGCGGGGTGATGGGGGAGAAGGGAGCGTCGAGGTGGTGATTAGGAAGCGTGCGGCCGTGTGCAGCGTGAGGATTAGCACGTCGACGAGTGGCAGCGGCAGCTCGGAGTGGTATGCGGTGAAATAAACGACTGTATGGGAGTGAGGGATTAGGGTAGTGCTGCTGGAGAACCGGTGGTGAGGGAGGAAGGTTTCGAGGAGGAAAACCGGCGGCAGAGACAGGGGACGGTGGGCATTTGGCGGGCGGGTGCCGGAGGGGAGGGGAGAGCTATAGGTGGGGAGAGCAAATCTGAGGACCGTCGCGTTTGAGGGACAGGTCTTGGCCGACACGACACCCATGGCGCTGATTGGATCCCTGCGCCGTGGAGCCCGACCCGCCGGCGCTTCGAGCAGCGCCCGCCCACGCCCAAGGCGCCTGGCCGGCTCCCGCATGCCGGCCGCCACCACCACCACCACCACCACCATCACGACACGACTCGACGCCCTCTGACAGCATCGCCTGCGCGGCGTGAGGCTGGCTGCTGCTGCTGCCACACACACACAGCTGCGCTCCACGGCCGCCCTCAGCCCGGCCGCCCGCCGCCCGCCCCTTTACCACGACGCCATGACGGCGTTTGAGGTCTGTTACAGGGCCATCTTCCGACTGAGACATGCACGTGACGCCCGCCGCCGCCGCCAGCCACAAGCCCCGGCGGCTTCCCCCCTAATCCCGCACGCCTGACCGCAGTCCCGTCGACGTCTGCGTGTGACCACAAGGTCCATATACGGCCCCTTCGCAAAGTGGCGTGGTAGGAGAGCGACCGACCAAGTTGAGGCTTGACGACACCATACTGCCGGGTAACAAGTGAACATCACTCGTCATGTCTCTGAAGCAGGTGCGTTTGCCCTCGTCGGCAGCTGCGCGCCCCCCAATGGCTGATTTGGCGCATAGGAAATCGAAACCTGGGTGGCAGCCCTCGCCAGCTACGACAACAACGAATTCGACGTTGCTCTCAAGGTCTTTGAGCAAATCTCCGACACATCCAAGATTCTGTTCAACTGCGGCGTAATCCATGCCACACTCGGCGAGCACGAGAAGGCGGTACGTTGTCGCCAGCCGTGTGCGCAGCACAAGCACGTACTAACGGGCCCCCGCAGGTCGAATGCTACCAGCGCGCTGTGCGTCTGGACCAGTACCTCGCTGTCGCATACTTCCAGCAGGGCGTGTCCAACTTTCTCATGGGCGACTTTGAGGAGGCCCTCGCCAACTTCAACGACACACTTTTGTACCTGCGCGGAAACAACAACATCGACTACGAACAGCTGGGCCTGAAGTTCAAGTTGTACTCCTGCGAGGTCCTCTTCAACCGCGGTCTCTGCTACATCTATCTCCAACAGAGAGACGCTGGTCTGCAGGATCTGTCGTTCGCTGCCAAAGAGAAGGTTGTTCCTGACCATGATGTTATCGACGAGGCCATTCGCGAGGAAGCCGAGGTATGCTGCTCCTTACACCCTGTAACGCTGGACTGTAGGCTAAAAATACCCCCCCCTAGGGCTATACCGTCTTCTCTATTCCAGTCGGAATCGTGTACCGCCCCAACGAGGCCAAGGTCAAGAACTTGAAAACCAAGGACTATCTTGGCAAGGCCCGTCTTGTTGCTGCATCTGACCGGTCCAACGCATTTACCGGGTTTACTGGCGCAGAAATCAAGAAGGGTGGGCAGGCTGCCAAGGACGATAGGACCGAAGACAAGATTTCATACGCTGCGACCAACCTGGTCAAGCCCGAACTCCAGAGTAGAGCACGCCAGCAGTCGGAACCCCCGCTCAACCGTAATGTATTCCCACCCACACCCCCGCCGGAGACGGACAGGCGATCTGCTGGAGAACGGTCTGCACCAGGCGCCAATGCTCCCATGAGCCGCGCACAGTCTGTACGCGGCGGTGGTCCCAAGCCCCAGCCTCTGAACCTTGGACGTGCCGCTTTCGACCAGCCAAGCAGCCAAGAGCCACCCCGCCGCCAGCCTACGCAGCGCTCTGCCTCGGAGCGCCCGCCCCCAGGCCGCTCAAGGTCCATGCGTGATCGTGGACAGCGTGACCCACGCGATAGGGACATGCGTGATAGGGACGCACGGGATCGCGAACCCCGTGACGTCCGCGATCGCGACGCACGAGACCGTGATAACCGTGATCGTGACTACAGCAGGACACGCCGCCGTGGTTCTGATGAAGACATTATTGACGACTACTATGACACGGACGGCTATCCGCCGGCGCGCTCAAGCCGTGGCGCGTACTCTCGCTCAAAACAGAGCAGACGACCGGCGTACATTGAAGAAGAGGAGGAGGATGACTACGACGGTAGTGATCTGGACGATGCCGAGTTCGAGATGATGTCACGTACCAAGTCAAGAAGACGATCGCCTGCGAGGTCCACTAGGTCTGGTGGGGCCAGCAATCGCGGAGGCGCTAGCAAGATCAAAGTCAAGGTTCACTCCAATGACACACGCTACGTCTTCATCAGCTCGGATCAGTTGATCGGCGAATTTTGGCAACAAATTCGCGAGAAGTTTGGCGTACGCAACAAGTTCAAGTTGGAGTTTGAGGATGACGGCGACATGATCACCATGGCCGACCAAGACGATCTGGATATGGCCATCCAGGCGGCCAAGTCTCATGCCAGGAAGGAAGGCATCGATGTACCGAAGATGGAGGTAAGTCATTACGAACGCATGCATTCCAACCTGACGACATATACTAATTACAACGGCAGGTTTGGGTTAGAGAAGTATAGATCAGAGATACCCCAGCATAATGCATTTTACGACATATTTGTCTTTGTTCTTTTCGGATGCCTACTTGATTGGGCCTGGCTATTGTCATGTTGGATATTTGCCCCCTTTCTTGTGTGTTGTATTTGTAGCGGGCATAATGCCGGGTCTTTTATTTTTCTTCTGCATAAAAACCCATTTTGTACACCCATTTTTGACAGCCGGACTGTTGATCCGCATACAAGCATGAGAGCAACCTCATTTTTTTTTCTCTTTCAATAAAAGCAGGCGGGGGAGGAAGTCTGTTGAACCTGCGTTGTATGAATGGAGTACGTGTAATGATGGAGCTATGTCCCTTTTTTTTTCCTGTATGGTTTATTTTTAGGCGCTTATTCGACATAGTATTACTCAATCGCCGAGCAAAAAAGATATGTATATGTATGTGATGGAACAACCCCCACGACTGCAATATGCAGGTATGGGAAACAGGGCACCTGCAGCAAAGTAAGCACCTTGTTTTTTTTTCTCCGTCTTCTTTCGCTTTATTCTCCTTCCCGTCTTTCCCCCCTCCCCCCCCCTGCTTCGTGCAAAACTGCATATGCACGGCATCCTACGGGAACCCTTTTTTTTTCTTTCTCTCTTTCGCTTGTGTGTCAACGCCACGAGCGCTTCAAACAAAAGCAAACCAGGGAAAACCCAATAACCGGGTTCGCGAGCTGACTTGTAGCAAGCACCAGTACCGTCGAGGAAGCTAAGAGCCGCCGGGCTGAGCCACGTGCCTACATGACTGCCGCCGTGCCCCATTGGCTGCGTGCACGATCTACAGCGACGACGACGTATCCAATCACAGGCGCAGGAAAATAGGAGGGAGGGCCACCCTAGGCGCCCGGACGCACCGGGAGCGGTGCATCTTCTTTTAGCGAGGGCCAAGCTGGTACTCTCCGTGTTTGTACGGCACGAATGACTATTCTGTGGATGATGGAAACGCGCGGTGATTATGCATGTACACCTGGGCCTGTACACTTGCTTGATTGAATCAGCCATCGGTATGCACGTGTACCACTTCGATACGTCGTCTACGCGCCCATCCTCGCATCCCACCCCCCCAGCCTCCCTCCTGCTCGCCAACCAACGCATGCAGCGAGACAAGCGTACGAGTAAAGCGTGTACGCGTATGGATTAGTATCAGCCCGGGCGACTTGACACGGGCATGGGGTCAACAACCGTAGCTAGTGTGTCTGGAGCCGCAAATTACATATCGTGATGGTGCTGTGATGATGAGGCAATGCTCTTGTCATCCTCGAAACGTCTGCCAAGCTCCGAGTGTATCGGGACAAGCCAGGGCGACGAGGCCGAGAGGGGGCACAATTGCGGCGTGAACGCACACCCAATCCGTCTCTAGATTGCCTTGATAAGCTTTTACTTCTTTGCCTGTGATAGGAAGGACACCCGCTTAGTATGCGTGGTTTGCATGGCCAATGGGGGCCTCGCCGAGCGTGAAGCGCGGGTGAGGCATGTCGTGTTTCAGCAATGTGTTGTGCTGATGGCTGTGGTGACGTATTCATCAGTCGGAGTCGGATCGGGCCCAGAAAGAAAAAGAAATGCCAAATATGAGGATGAGATGAGGTGTGGTCGAAAAAAAGGAGATAACAAAGACGGGGAGTCGGTAGGGGAGATTATTGTTACATATTGTTACAAAGACTGGTTGAAACCATGATTTGGGCCCACTTGATTTCTTTCCATTGTCGTATGCAAGCCGTGCCTGAACGTCCATTTGATTGCTCTTCCTAGAGAGACCAAATGTGGTATATGTGCATAGGCGTACAAGTTCGTTTTCACCAGCTGTGTATAGGCGGCATCTCATGCGCCCAACAACTGCATTACATACTGGCACCCGAATATTCGGCGTCAGCGTAAATTTCCGATCGTTTTATGTTTTTCGTCATCGATTCGCGTCGTTTACGCAGGTAGGAGGATCTCGGCCCAGCTGCTGTGGAGAAATGTGACGCCAAGCTACAGCAAATTGTCAGCACTTTGTCACGAAAGTGTCGTTTTTACTCGCGCAGGCGCATCTCCAGGCTGCCTCGGATATCTTGTCCTACTTCGCTGGGGGCTATCTTACAGCGAATAGTCCTGCAGCAGTGACAATACTCCTGTTCTCCTTGCTGGTAAAAGTTGAAATGACGCTGGAGGCAAAGCTGGGCTCTTGGATGGTACGGCCCTTTCCTGTCATGTACTTGGGAGGCATGGCTGTGATTATGTCGGGGGACTGCGGCGCTGTTAGTCAATACCGCCAATTTGCATGGGACTCGCGAGAGCCTACGATGCGACTTGATGTGGGAGGGGTATGTGGGGGGTTGTCGTAGATGCGAGGCGGCTGCTGGATGAAGTTCGCGATAATTTTTGGCATGGACGAACGTCATTGGCTCGGAATGCTTAGGTAAGGCCGTCCGCGTCCCGCAGATACGAATATCTTGCATACGTCACATGCAAATGCTCGCAAATGGTAGTCTTGCAAGCACTGATGTGAGGGAAAACTTGATGCGTATGAATGAAAGAAAGTAAGTTTATGGTTCCGTAGTGGCAAAGCTACGCAGCGAGAAAATGATGATTTTTTTTTATCTTCGCTGAATACGTCTGTCCTGACTCCTCTCTCCAATGACTAAAAATGGTATAATGTTCTACTCTCACTCCACGTTCTTCCCCATTGAAACAATAGGCGCCAAATGGTATACAGAAATTCAACATGTTACACTGTGAAAAATAAAAACCAGTGACAACAGATAGATCTACAGCTTGGACTTGGGGTCTTTGCGGGTGACAGTGCATTGGATAAGACCGTTGGGGTCAGTTTGGGGTGCGAGAACAGTGGCGTCCTTGCCAGTGTTCTTGATATCCTTATGCCATGAGAGATCTGGATATCGTGTTAGCAAAATGCCATGTGCGAGTAAGGACTTGGGGTACTAACCAATCTCAAAATAGTGCTTGTTTGGGAGCGAATAGTCTACAGCCTCAACCTGTGGCACGGCAGCCAAGATCAAGTCGCACATCTTGTACATGGTTGCCTGCACGCTGGCACTGTCGTCCTCTGCAAAGACCTTCATGGTGATGTCTCGTGCAGCCTTCCATGCAGCGCCGAAGTCGATGGCCTTGACCTCGTCCAGTGTCTTGAAGAGCTTCCACTGCCATCCAGCCTCGATCTCGGTGCTGAGAATACGATCCCATGTCTCGGGTAGTCTTGTGTACTCGTCGCGGTGGAAGCCATGGAACGCCGATCCCGTGCTCTTCAGCACCAGCAGCTTCTCAATCTTGGAGCGGATGGAAACGCCCTCGTTCTCGCGCGTGACTGACTCGATGACGCGCGTCTCTTCGCCGTCGCGGTAGAATGAGTGCGGGTGGTCCTTGCCGTCAATTTTCATGCGCGTCCATCGGTGCTGGATAATCTTGACATGTGCTGCGTGGATATGGGGGTACGTCTTGATGAAGTGGTCGCCAATGATGGCCGCGAATTGCTCGGGCGGGTCAATGGGATGCTGCTTTGCGAGGATGTAGGTGGTCTGCTTCTGCGTGTCGGTCGCGACCACGACCGAGTTGTCTGCCTTGGTGTAGCTGGGTAGTGTTAGCCGCCGCGGTAGCCAGCTGGGTTGGCTTGCTTACGAAGGCTCAATGTCGCCCTCAAGCAAGATGCGGACTGTCTGCTCGACGACCGTGTGGATGCCCGTCTGGGGGTCCTTGTCCACCTTGTACAGGCGGACGTTGTCCTTGCCGTAGCGCGCGTAGCTAAGCCGAGACATTGCGACGGATGAATGGGGATGGGCACGAGGACAGTCAATTGATAGCGGGCGAGGAGTAGAGTGAAGCAGTCGAGAAGGGGCCGTCAAGATAGATATATGTACGTTTGAAAGCGCAGGCTATGGGCGGGGCGGCCGGCGGAGGAGACCGACGCGGACCTGACGGTTTCATGAGCAGGCCATGGATGGGCACGCAGACGCGGCGCGAAGGCGTTTCGATTCGCTGCTGCTGCCATCGGCGAGCTCCGATGGGTGGACGAGGCCCTGGATAACGGGACAGGGCGCGCACGTGACAGCGGCAGAGCAGGGCAGGCCCCCGCCTGCCGACGCAGCGCGAGAGCGGCATGTTGGACGACGGATCAGGCCACGATGGGCAGGTCGAGTGCTAGTCGGCGTGGGCGTGGGCGCAGGCATGGCCGTGACAGTGCAGCAGAGGCGTGCAGCAGCTGTTCTGCTTTCTGCTTTCTGCTTTCCTTTTGGCTGCAAGTGCCCAGCGAGCAGAGCAGGGAACGCCGTCCGTGCGCGTCCAACGGCCGCACGTCGCCATGGGCATGCACGGCGGCACTTCACCACCCACCTTCGACTGTCCTTGTACACGCGCCCCACCACACCCGGGCCTCTGCCTCTGCCGCTGCCACTGTCACTCACCACCTTCACGCCCGAACTGCCCCCCTAGCCACACTTGCCTCTTCCGGTCTGGCACTGCGACGAGCCCGACTTCACCTCTGCCCGCGAATGCTCATGAGGCACGACGAGGGCTCCGCCGCCAGACACATGTGCGATGCGGTTGGCGAGGACACGGTTAAGGCGCGCTCATGACGCCATCCGCCCGCTCCCTCAACACACAGGCCGACGCTGCCGATCAGACGTCCCTCCTTGCGCCCACGACGAGTAGAGATGGCCGCTCGACGTCGGCCGCCGGCATGGCCAGCTCGCGCGGCGGCCAGGCGTCGTATGCCTCCTATGCGACGGCCAACACGGGCCCCGGCAGCTTCAACACGGCTCTGACGAGGCCCTCAACCGCCCAGGAGGGCAGAGTGCGGCCCGAATTCGACATGCATGCCATCACCATCGCCGACCACGACGGCATCACAAGCGAGCAGCGCCAGGCTGAGCTGCAGGACCAGATCGAGAAGGAGACCAAGATCAAAATCGGCTCCGAGAACCTGCTCGAGGCGCTGAATGCAAAGAATGCAAAGGAGGTCAAGAACCAGCGCCTGCAGGTCGAGGAGCAGCTCAACATCTCCAACAGAAAGCTGGCGCAGCTGCAGTCAGGCCTGGCTGCCGAGAAGCAGAGAGCAAAGGAGGTCAAGTCGCCACCCGCCGATCCCCAAAGCCGCCTCTCGTACCTTTTCCGTCGAAACCTATCACGCTCACCATCACGACACGTTGCCCAGAAAGAAGAGGACGATGACGAGGAAACCGAATCACCGACGTTTGTGTTGGCCGAGATACTGCAGGCTCTCGAAGTCCAGGGCATGCAGCCAGAATACTATGTGGAGAGAGCAAACTCTCTGGTCCTCCTCTTCAAGCGACACCCCACGCTCAAGTACGACCTAGCTTGGTCCATATTTGGCCTGCGAATGCAAACTATGCTCCTGAGCGACAGCCGCGAAGTAGTCGCAGCAGCATATCGCGTCATGCGCTACTCCTTCACCGACCGCAAGTCGCTGCGAATTGTACGCGCACTTCATACAGATCATCTAGTCATCTTGTCATTAGTAAAGGAGACCAAGGCCAGTGTGGAGCGCGAGCAGGCTCTCAAGTTTGTTCGAGCCTTTCTGGACGTAAAAGGAGGTGTTGAGGAGATTGCACGCGCCGTAGTTCGCATCATTGTGGCCGTAGCCGAGCACGCAGAAGACCGCCTCAGGAACATTGCAACTCTGACTCTGGCCGAGATCCTTGTCCGGAAGCCAGCCCTTCTCGTTGCAGCTGGAGGCATGGGTGCTTTGGCCGATGCTCTTGGAGAAGGGAGCTACCACGCCGCAGAGAGCGTTGGCACCTCTTTTCTCTATCTCCTAGACACACCCAGAAGACGTCGATTCCTGCGGTCCGGGCGCGAACTCGAAAGCCCATTTGCAATGTTCACCGACGCAAGCACGATTCATGGACATCTTCACGAAGAGAAGCTAAAAGTCAACGCCAAGGTCATTGCCTCTCTGCTCAGGAGCTGGGGCGGACTAATCACTCTCTCAATGAATGACTTTCTCCCTCTTCGGTCCTTACTGTGGTCCTTACAGATACCAACCCCACACGTTCGAAACATCATCCTCGAACTGCTCTTCGATCTTCTCAGAATCAAGCCTCCTTCGTGGTCTTCTTCTTTTCTCGCAGGCCGTCGACTGACTACGTATGGCCGTGTCACAAATCTAAAAAACCAGCAGATCAAAGACTCGTCGGCGTCCAGTACCGTCGAGAACGAGACAACCAAATGGAGCTTGCTAGATCACTACGTCTCTGTGATTCTGGCAGCATTCCTGCATGCAGGGTTAATGCCCGCTTTGTTGCAGGCTGAAGAGGAGCCGCTGACACTGCCCCTGAAGCGCAAAACGACGTTGTTAATCGGTGAGGTTCTCAAAATGGCAAACGAACTTCTGCCGCCATCATGGAGTGCACAGCTTCAAGTGCTTCCTCAGCTCTTGCATTCTGCAGCAAAATTCCAATCTCCAAACCGTTTTGTTGCCATTGGCACTATTTACCAGGTGGATAGTATTAACAGGACGCTATACAGGTCAGATCCGACATCTCTATACAACAACAAAGGCATTTCGACTTCGGACGATACTCCAGCCAATCGACAGTCAGACCAAGCGGCCAAGTTGCAAGCTGCGATGCAGGTCGACGAGGGCCAATTCCGGAATCTGATGGTCGAAACGCAGGTCCTCAACACAGTGACATTCCAAAAATGGCGGTGGGACTTGATTCTGAACATAATTGAAGGGCCATTGCTCAACCCCAAACGCTTGGACGAAGCCATCAAGGTCACAAAGTTCATTCATCGTGTTTTGGGATTCTACCGCCCGTTCAAATATCGGTTCTCCGAAGTCAAAAACACCAAACCAAACCAACGATATGTTCGGGCCGGTTGCGCTCTGATGCAGAGCCTCCTGCAGAATCCAGAAGGCGTCAAGTATTTGGCTGAGAGCAAATTCATTCGACAACTTGCAGAATGCTTGTCACACTTCGACCGGATGAGCGGTCTCACATCTGAGTCACCCATCTTCCAAGCAGACCGCATGAACGAGACGCTGACTGGCGGGTATTTTGCGCTCCTAGGTGCCCTGACCAAAGATCCTCGAGGCATCCATATCCTGGAACGATGGAGAGTGATCAACATGTTCTATCACATCATCGAACTCAATGACCGTGACGATCTGATCCGGACGCTTCTCAGTAACTTGGATTACACGTTGGACGGCCATCTGCGCATCATCATTTCAAAAGCACTAACATCATGCTCCAAGGAGATCCGCATCTTTGCGACAAGATTATTGCGCAAATATGCGACGAAGCCGATGGGCGTCAGCAACTCTACTGGGGTAACGGAATGGGCCATCAGGCTGCTTGTGACGCAGCTTTACGACCCAGACGTGGAGGTGTGCGAAGTTGCGATCAAGATTCTGGAAGAGGCGTGCAACCAGAAAGAGTCTCTAGAGTTTGTAGTGAAGTGCCGGCCGGCATTGGATCACTTGGGAGAAATTGGGGCACCTCTGCTGCTTCGGTTTCTTTCGACTTCGGTAGGCTATCACTATCTGGACGGATTGGATTACATCACGAGAGAGATGGATGACTGGTTCTTGGGGAGAAACGACACCTATGTAGCCCTGATTGAGGCGTCGATGGCCCGCGCACTTGCGGACATTCCAGACAAACCATCGACGCAACTAAGCTACGAGGATGCGCCTGAGCCGCCCGACTACGGGCTGGTGCCGCCACATTTCTACCGGGAGCTGACGAGGACCAAGGAGGGATGCAAGCTGCTGAAGCAAAAGGGACACTTTGACGAATTTGCCGCGACGATCCGTGACTTTGCATCGGAAAACGACGATCCGGAGATTATTCTCAAAGTCAAGGGATGCTTATGGGCGGTGGGCAATGTGGGATCCATGGAACTGGGAGCGCCATTCCTTGAGAATTCAGACGTGGTCAAGTGGATTGTGCAGATAGCGGAACATTCCGAGGTCATGTCACTCCGGGGGACGGCCTTCTATGTCTTGGGGCTGATTTCTAGGAGTCTTCACGGGCAGGAGATTCTACTGGAGTACGGATGGGACGGGGTTGTCAACGATTCGGGCGAAGCGCTAGGGTTTTGTCTGCCCCTTGACTTCAACAAGCTGTTCAAGGTAAGTGGCGGCAGGTTGGTTTTTCTTGATTGGGAAATGGACTAATGCAGGTATAGATGGCGCCGTGGGTGGCGCAGGCAGAGGACATGAGCTGGAATCCCAAGGCGGAGATTAAGGTTGCAGTTACGGACGAGGACCCTGTCAACGCGCGGATTCTGAAGCTTGCGACGGATCTCGGCAACACGGTGCTTGCCAAGAAGGCGGCCAGTGACCTGCAGGCGTAAGTGATGATGGTGGCGGTGGTGGTTGAGGGGGCAGTTGAGCACGACTAATGCGTCTGTTTTAGGATCAAGGCTAGAAAGGCACCGGGGTTCAGCAAGCCTGCGATCTTCGACAAGGTCATGCAGATACTGGAAGCGCACCACTTCCGTCTTCCGGCGTGCCGGTTCATACTGGATTTGTTCGACAAGCGGGTGCTGGAGCAGATTGTGCTCGAAGAGGAAGACGAAGCCGAGGAGGAGTCGGGCAGCCAGTCCGAGGGCAGTGCAGAGGCTCGGCAGACGGGCATGAATGGCGCAATGAGGGGAGCGTAAAGGGAGGGATTGGTACAAAGACGAGGCCGGGGGCTTCGGAACTAGGCGTTGGGGAGCGTTGTCGACAGGGATGTATGTGTACGATAGTCATGTATGTATGTGGGTGGAGCCGAGGGCAAGCATGGGTCAGGAGGGTTGTTTTTTTGCATGTGTATTATGGAGTTGGCCGGTACACTAACTAAGCTTTTGCTGGGAGGATATGTGCAGCGGCACAGCAGACGAGGGGTGATGGGGGGTATGAGCATAGTCAGGCACGAGGGGCGTTGGGGGGGTCAAGTTTGGGTGTAGGTAGTAGGGGTAGTGAATGCAAGCATGTCTCATGGGCTGGCTGGACACGCACACACACACATGGACACGGGGCGGGTGCGGGCATGCGGGGCGGGAGGTCGAGCCTGTATGGGAAATGCAAGTCGTCACGACTATGGGACCCTTTGGGTGATGTACAGGGTCTCGGGCGGACAGTGGTGCGTATATCGAAACGAGGGCTTGGCAGGCGCGAGTGGCACATGGGCGTAGTCAGCGTCGTGGGGATTGACGTTTGGCAGCACTAGCGGCGCCGCGCCGCCATTGGCCAGGGCGTGCCTGGGCTCGACGTCCATGACGCTTGCAAGCCCGCTGCGGCTGCTGGTAGACATGTCCAGCACTGCGTACGGCCGAAGCGCAGGTGGCCATGGCCGCTCGCGACACATGCTTAGATGAGCCACCATCTTGCACCGGCGCGGGGTGCTGGTCGCGGCGGCCATTGCGGCTGGACAGCGGGCTGACTGGACTTGACAAGACCAGACCAGACCAGACCAGACAAGACAAGACGCCCTGGGCCGGCGCTTCTCTGGGCCTCGCCTTGCACCCCCCTCGCCCCTCGCGCGCTCGCGCCTCCAGACGCGGGCTTCCGGGCGGGCGGGCGGCGAGACAGCAGGCGGCGGGCGGCGGCAGTCGAGGTCGCAGGTCAGGTCGTGCGGTTGCGGTGGGCGGTCGACCTGAGTCGGGGTGCAGGTCGAGGGTGGGAACAAGCAAGTGGTGAGTCGTCGAGTGCTTGCATTTTGCAGGTGGCCCGTGCGATTTTTATAGCGCGCTGGGCCCGGACAGGCCTAGCGCGGCGGCCGATGACGGGCTGCTTGCTCGATCCGAGAAGGCCAGAGCTGGCACAGAAATCGGCGGCAGCCTTCCTCGACTGATACGGGCGCGCGAAGCAACATCATCGCCGATCTGCTCCAGCATCCGCCCAGCATGGATGACCACTGCAACCGCTGCCCATTTGAACATGGCCCTCTGCTGCTGTTGCTGCTGATGCTGATGCTGCTGTGCCCTCTGCTGCTGCCTCTTCACCCTCGCTTTCTGCTACACGCCCCCGAGCCAGCCCTCACTCACCCACCCGCCCTGCCCGCCTGCCTGCCTGCACACCACCTGCCCCGGCACTATTTCCCTCCCACGCCAGCCCTCTGACCCTCCTCCTTCGCCTCCTCCACCTCTCCCTCCACCTCCTCCTCCTCCTCTTCTTCTTCTTCTCCCTCTGCCGCCGCAGTCGTCATCCCGCCCTGCGTCAGCACCCGCACTGCTGATTGCGCCTTCGGTCAGCCCCAGCACCGCCTGCCGCTCTCGTCACTCTCGTCCAATCGTCTCGGCGCGCAAATTCGTTTCACCACCGCCTGGGTGCTCTTCAAGACTCGACCGTCTCCCAGACGCCGTCACCGAGACAGCCTCGCGCACAAGCCCATACACACCATACCGTACCTGAGCTGCACCTGACATTGCCTGCCACCCGCTCCACGCGGCGCACCCGACCCAGTCCCCAGGGCTCTCCGACTGTACATGGCTGCCGGGGCCACTGCACAACACAGCGCCTCTACATGAATCGCCAACGGACAAAAGGGTGCTCAATTGTCAACAGCGTTGAGCATTCCTTTGAGCCTCAATTATCTGCACAGGCCTTCATGTGCGACAATGAGCCCTCGACAGAGGCTTCGGACACTGTAGCCCTCGACGCCCACCACGACGCCCGCCAGCTGGTTCGCTTGGTCCAGTGCCCGCGATGCTCGAAACCGCTGAGTACCCCGGTCACCCTGCCCTGCGGCCATACCGTCTGCCGCGACTGTCTGCCGTCCCCACAACCTCGCGCCAACATATCGTACCCCAACACGCCCGACCGCCTCATGGGCATCGCATGCCCGCTGCTGGGCTGCGGGGCCGAGCATGCGTCTGCAGAGTGTTCAGTCGACGTTACCTTGGCCAAGCTGATGGACCTCATCAAGATGGAAATAGCACAGCACAAGCCAATTGCGCAAGACACTCCGACGCTGCTCATCGAGCTGCCTCAGCCTGAAGAGGTGTCCATGGACGAGAAAGAGAAGGAAAGGCCTGCACCCGAGGGGCACCAGGAGCAACTGCACGGAGGACGTCTCGTGTCTACCTTTACCATGGCTGAGATGGGCAAACTCGGGTACGCTGCCGAGGTTCGCTACCAGTCACTGTCGGCAAGTGGGGACGACTATGAGCACCTCGATATGACGCTATTGGGGCGCTTGAGGGAAGTAATACACAAGGAGCTAGACTGCCTGGTCTGCTACAATCTGATGCTCGACCCCACAACAACGTCGTGCGGTCATACATTCTGCCGCCGTTGTCTTGCGCGCGTCATGGACCACAGTAGCATTTGCCCTTTCTGTCGAAGAGGGCTGCATGTCCCTGCCTCGCTTCAGAACCAGCCTAGCAACGCTATACTCAACTCCCTGCTCAACGGACTTTGTCCCGATCTGGTGAGTGCCCGCGCCGACGCCCTCAAAGCCGAAGAGCAGGCGGGCGACAACGTGCTCAACGTGCCGCTGTTCATCTGCACTCTGTCGCTTCCCTCGATGCCCACTTTCCTTCATGTTTTCGAGCCGCGCTACCGGCTCATGATGCGACGCGTCATCGAAGGTAACCGACAGTTTGGTATGGTCATGTACAACCGCACACGGGCTCCCCAGGGCGATCTCGGCGCGGTCCCTTTTCTGGAGTACGGAACGCTACTCGAAATCGTCAACTACGAGCTACTCCGTGATGGGCGTAGCTTCATCGAAACACGAGGCATCGGCAGATTCAAGGTGAGAGCGCACGGCATGCTCGACGGATACAACGTCAGCCGCGTTGAGCGCATCGAGGATGTTTCGCTTGCCGAGGAGGCCATCTTGGAGCAGCGCGAGACCACCATGGCCCGCGACTATGCCGAGGCCTTCTTCCGTGATCACCCGCAAACCCAGCTGCCGGGCGAAGTTGCCATAGAGACACTGTCAACGCAGCAACTACTCGACAGTTGCACTGCGTTTGTGCGAGAAATGAGGGAGGCTAGCGCCCCTTGGCTTCGTGAGCGCATTATTCAAGTCTATGGCGAGCCGCCGGAAGACCCGGCTATTTTCCCATATTGGTTCGCTTCGGTCGTGCCAATTGTCGAAGAGGAAAAGTACGTATTGCTGCAAACGGAGCGGGTTCGCGAGCGCCTCAAGATTGTGTACTCGTGGATTGGTAGGATCCGTGGGCAGCGATGGTAAGTGGTCTAGCCTCTCCTTTATTTTCTTACCCGCCGCCCGCCGTACGCCCGCACAAGTCATGGAACAGGAATCTGGCCCTCCCGGACTCCCGGACACTGGCACGCCGTCAACGTCTTGTGCGACACCAACACGAGTGTTCAACGGTCATCGACCTGTTTTGGCCCAGCTTACGCCGAGACCAGCGTTATCTCTTTTGTGTTCGTCATCATGACGAAAGAGATGTGCGTGAGTGGTCCGAGCCTATGTCCAGTGTTCCTGTTTACAACACCATTCTTGCTCATGCCCCAGCAGCTGCTAATTTGTCTCCAGGTCTTCTGGCAATGCATGCAGCATCCTGTGACTCCTGACTACTCTCGTCGCCATCCTCGCCGCGCTTCTCTACACGCCTCCACTGATCGCCATGCACATTCAGTAGAGGCAGGCTATGACGATGAGTGCCCTGCTACCCAACAATCCCCAATGACATGCTCCTCCCTCAATCTGACGTCTCACGGCCTCTGAGCATTGCTAGCCACTTTCCCCTTTTTCATGTCTATAGCATCGTCTTTGTCACCAAAGCACCCTTTTTTCTCTCTTTCTTTTGCTGTTGTTACTGTTTTCGCTTCTTCAATGACTACCCCCTTTCAGGAGGACCGGAGCTTGCCGTGTCCATGTTCGAATGACTTTTTAGATCCAGGTGCTAGCCTGGTGGCCCTTGGTACGGGAAAATGAGTTTTTCCTTGCAACTGTGTTTTTTGCGCAAAAAAAAACTTGAGAACAAATGAAAACGTTCCTCGGGGTTATGATAAGAGCACAAAAATAGGGGGGTTTGTAAGTTAAGGAACAACCTCTTTTTTTTGGTTTGGTTTGCCATTGTTTGCTTGCATTTGATTGGCGTTGCCTATTGTTGTAAATGGAGAGGAGGGTGGGCCGAGTTGCCAGCACTGCTGCACTGCTGCACTGGCAGGTGTGCGTGGGCTTCCCCCCTTTTTTTTCCTCCTCCTCTCTTTCGTATGATGCCTGTGTCTTGTAGATATTTGAGTGGACAGGAATGAAATGCATGTGATCACATCACCCGTTTAGACTTGCCAAAAAGAAGAAGAAAAAAAATCACTTCTTCATGCTTGCACTTGATCGTGGATGACTCTCCCGTTTTTTTTTCCTTTTTGTTCGGTTCACATATGCAGCTTCGTGCACGGAAGGAGCGACAAGGGGTATGTGTGTGTGTGTGCCTTCCCCGGCGAAGACCTCGCTTCGGGGTCTGCTTGTTGACAGCATGGGTCGATTGCAAAGGTGACTGCTTGCTTCTTGTCACACCGCCTCACCTTGTACTATTTCTTGTAATCGACGCATGGCTGGTGATAACCTGCAAGATTCTGACGAAGCAGGGCGCACCGGTGTGCACCGCCACCACCATGCATCTCGTTCTTGGACCGACTCACCAGCTGAATTGTGTTGAGAAAAGCTCGTGGCCAATCTGGAGAGAGCACGTTCGGTCATGGGCTGCAGGCTGTTGCAAGGCTGAAACCTGACCCTATATCTTCAGCAGCTGAGACCCTGAGAATACTCTGTTCTCGTTCAACCTCTCATTGCTGTTCTTCACTGACCAACTGAATAACCTGCATCTTTGCCATGGAAGCCCTCTCCGGTGTTGCTAGTGGTATGGCTGTGGCCTCACTATCGATACAGCTCATTGAATCCATTGGAAAGATCAAGACATTCATACATAACTTCAAGGATGCACAGAAAGAGTTGGAACGTCTGGTGGACTTGCTAGAGCGCCTGGAGGCTTTGTTGGTAGATGTTCGCGCCTTGATGGAACGACAGGCCTCGTTGCAGGCACAGCACTTTCCGAAACCTTCAATGACGATACTTAAATGCCTGGAGAGCTGCGAGAAGACGCTTGAGCCACTCCATTCGGTCGTTGAGAGATACACGCCTTCAAAATACAAGGTTGGTACTAGTATGGACAGGCTAAAGTCCGGACTTCGAGTCGCTTTCAAAGCGAAAGATATCGAAGGTTTCGAGACACGGATCGAGCGGGAGATCAACTTTCTTCATGCTAGCCTTGGAGCCAATTGTGGAGCTATCTTGTAAGTCTCCCACGGGCATTATCATGGTTGAGGTCGCTGTTAAGTTCTTACTACCAGAATGCAACTTGGCCCTGCATTACTCAGCACTCGACGGATCGACGAAACCATCCATCAAAACACCCTGGTACCGGTAGTCTCGAGTGTTGAAACGATGAACATATCCTCCATGCAAGATAATGGCATGATATCGCATCTAGGAGCTACACGTGGCTCGCTATCAAGAACATTTGTACGCTCACCATTCGAGAGAATAGGTATATACCGATGCAGAATAGTACGGCGTATACCATGTGGCTCCGGAAAAACAACGCCAGGCCATGGGCAGGAGAATTCAATGGTCATTTCTGAAGATGACGAGACGACTATAGTCTGGAGAATGCTCGGTTATGGGCTTACATGGATCCAACACCGGTCTTTTGGCAAATGCGTGCCTAGTCTCAGCACATTCCCGGTAATCTGCGAATTCCCTGACAGCGTCTACACTGTGTTTGACACAGGCGAAATACAAGACTTCCAGGACTTGCTTGATCGCGGTGTTGTCCACCCATTCTCACGTGATTACGATGGAGAATCTCTGCTCCATGTAAGGCCCTTATGTGTACCTCATCGATTGTCTTCTGACATGGTTCTAGGTCGCTGCATCTTACGGAAGGGCTGATATTTATCTACTACTTCGAAAGCTCGGCCTGGAACAAACTCTCAGTAATCACAATAAGTCACCCTTGTTGATCGCATTCGACTGGTTCTATTTCCCTGATTCACCAAGCATAATTGACCTATATCGCTATATTCTCTATGATACAACGTTGGTAGATGATTTTAGCTCTTCTCACTGGTCATATGCAACATCCTCGATGAACGACGCTTGGTCTTGTGAATGGTTCTTTTCACAAGCTACGCAAGTGCTTCCTCCCGAGGATTCCCTTCGAGTACATTTAAGAATCATTCAACTTGAATGGCAGAGAATGTCTGACCGAATGCAAGGTTATTTCATACTACTTCATACCATGCCATGCTCTTCAGAGTATCCCCATTTCGATCTAGACGCGGATCTACTGTATCTCATACAAACGGGACAAGGTAATCTTTTATATTATACAATCTATAGGTGCTTTAGAAGCTGTGATTCTTTCACATTAGGAGGCATATTGGTAGAGTGGCTATTGAATGCAGGCATTGATGTCGAAGAGTGGATGAGCCACGAGATGAAGCGTTGGAACATACAACACATGTTTACTAGGATGGGTTTTGCCAAAAAGATGGTATTGGAAATTTGCAAGGACGGTGGGTGGAGACTTGGTTTCGAGTATGTATTCGACAGCGAAGCAAGCGGCTATCTAGTTGTCGCCGAGTACCAGGCCTTGTCGGTTGAACCGATAATAGAGACGGATTGGCCATTTTATGATTTGTGGTCCAAATTCTACGATTGGTCAAGGAGGGGTTCGCTATGTGGACAAGAGGCTTCGGATGAATACGAGAAATACCTGGAACCCAAGAGGAGAAAGCGCTTCGAACGCCGCACAGCAGCCAAACAACGCAAGGAACGCGCTCGAACTGGTCAGAAGATTCCAAAGAGTAGGATACCAGGGACATGGGTATGGTGAAGCAATTCCATCCATTCATTCATCTGTATCTAGTCTCATCCATCGAAAATCCCCCGAATATTCAGACTCTCCGGCTTTTTCTTTTCCACTGCACACCCAGCTACCTATACCTCTGTTCTCTCTTTACTTTATTAAACTGTATATTTCATCCTACTGCCCGGTATGCATTGATGCACCATCTTTTACCCCATTTTTCTCATCAAAGTATTGATATGTCTCGTGGAAGCGGTAGTCTTCTCCTCCTCGTCAAGTTGCTCTACAGGTTGCATGAGCTGTTTACATTTCTTCTTCTTCTTTACTATACCGCATTAACCCTTCCCGATTCTCAATTCCCCTGCGAATGAACCCTGTACAAAACAGCTAAATGGATCCATATTTTTCTGGTTTTTTTCTTTTTTCGACACTGGATTTTTTTTTACAAATTAACTGCATAGTAAAAGGATAAGTGGATTATACATAGATTTTTTGCGTCATCTACATAGCAAGGGCATTTGTGTATACATACATATATACATACATAGTAAAAGTAAACAGCGTGAAGCAATACTTAGATGTATCTGTCCATGTATTATTACTATTACTATCACAAGATACGCACTTGCATTCGAGCCCAAAAGAAAAATAAGAGAGAAAACAATGTTCCTAACACCTGTTGGTTTGACAAATAGTGAAGGAATACGTTGTCCCATTTGTTCTTTTTTTTTCGCTTGATTCTGCTGGATTGGGGAGATATATTTCACCAAAGTGGACAATTGGGATGTGAAAACTTGAGAAGGAGATAGATGTACAGGTTGAAGACGAGATGGTGGTGTAATCGGGAAAAAAAAAGAGAATGAATGGCTTTTGAGCGACAAATGTCACAATATTACCTTATCGGGGGCTTGCAGCGGCGACTCCTTTGTATTTCATTGGACATGGTAGAAAAAGCGCTTTTCTGTAAGTATGACTATTCGAGTATGCATGGATGATAAATAATCCTAGTACATAAAGCCATCTTGTATTGCGAGTAACTGTTTTGGTGAAAATGACTTTAATTTTCAACATGGGGGCATATAATACAACAAATGCAAGTTGACAAATAATGCACGACTACGCAGGCAACTCCAAGGCCTCTACATTTGCACTGGTAGGTTTTCCCTGCATAAGTTGGGAAAGCACCAGGCCGGTACCTGGGGCATGCGAAATACCCCAGGCACCATGACCAGCGGCAATGAAGACGCCTCCTTGAGCACCCTCTTTCGTTTTCACGTCACCTAGTTTCTCGTCTGGTATCCGCGCGACAATGGGGCGGCCGCTGGATGTAACTGGGCGGAAACACTGGCACACGACATTAGCAATTTGTGGCATCTCTCTGAGTTGGAAATTAACTTACCAGTCCCTCTCTCAGAACCTCCATCTCCTTGCCCGGCACAGCCAACAACATGACCTGTGCACACTGGCGCATCTGCTCAATTGCCTTCTCGCTCACTTTCACATCGGTGGCTATATCCGGCAGGGGAACCGTGGTACTATTCAGACCGCCCAGGTACAGTTCGCCGTTGAGTCTTGCAAACCATTCTGGCGAGAAGCCCAGGGTATCCGTGGCAAAGACGGCGTGGCAGACTTCCTTGTCGAGCTGGTCGGGCTTGAAGTGCGGGTTCCGCACGAGCAGCGAGTGGCCGGCTAGCGGGGAAATGGGGATGCGAGATTTGGAAGTGGGGAAGAGGGTGCTGAAGAGGCGGGGGGACCAGGCGCCTGAGGAGATTACAAGGCGGGTGCACGGTACTGTTGTAGACAAGGGAGTGATTAGTATATGCGTCGTCTGTGAATGTCTTGTTGGCAATCTTACACTCTGTCTGCGATGTCGCGTCTTCGCCCGTTTGTAACCGTATGCCGCACAGCACGCCATTCTGGTCCTTGACTACTTGGGTTGCCCGCGCAGGATGATGCACGTTCACGCCTCGTGCCTTGACTTCTTTCAGGACCCACTGGCAGAATCGCAACGGGTCGAGCTGGGCCGTCGTGCCATCGCGGCTGATGACTTCCATGATGCCCTCGTGTGTGCGTCGAAGCCAGCCTGGGCGCGTGGATTGCTCTTCCTTTGGCCGGTTGCTTGCCATTTGCGCCCTGCTTGTTCCATTCTCCAGCCAGTCTTCGCCGCTACCGGCAATGGCAGATTCCGACTCGCTGTCTTGCGAGAGCGAGATGCCTGTCGACGGTGCGTAGCCCCATGTTTCGCGGCCGGCGTGGGCAGCTGCGAGGTCGGCGTGGAGCTTGAACGAGAGGGTCCCGAGCGAGGATACGGATGGTGCGAACCCTGTGGCAGAGAAAAAAACAAGGAGAAGCAGTTAGACTTGCGGGTTCAGGCTAATTGGAAATAATCGTGCAGTGTCGCTCGCCGGGGCGTACAAGAGGCGGCCGACAGGGTATGGTACATACAATCAGCAGTCAGGAAGCCAGCGGCGAGGCCCGACGCGCAGCGGAACAGCTCTGGGCTGGAGTCGACCAGATGGATACTGCGTGGATTGGTGTTTTCGTCTGCGGTCAGGTAGTAGGCAGCACAGAGGCCAATGATGCCGCAGCCGAGTATCACGGTGTCGGGGGTGTCGGGGGTGGCAGTGGTTTCGCTAACCGCCATGGTCGGTCGGCGTATTGGAGAAGGCGGGGCAGCAGAAGCAGCAGCAGCGGGCAGCGGGCAGCGGTGGGAAGAAGCAGACGAGGATGCAGAGTCAGTTGGCCGCGCCGCAAACAGAGTTCAGACAGCCAGAAGCCCGATCAATGATCTATTGCCGGCCTGCCACGAAGTCGCATGCCGGCCTTTTAAGAGCAGCCAGTGGTCGGATCGGCGCCCCGACGGACACATGGTCACAGACATACACCGCATCCACCGTATAGGACAGGATAGGATTGGGATAGGGTACCTGGCCTCGACGGCCCAAACTGGCGTTGCTTGTCCCGGGCTGCTCTTCTCCATGTCTGTCTGTCACAGGACCCGACCCCTCCGCCCCTCGCTATCGTACGAGGAGCGACAACAAGAAGACGGCGATGGCGGCTCCGCGTGCTCTTGAGAGCGTGAGTGGGCACTTGGCCAGCAAAGCCCGCCCGACCGTCAAACTCGGGTAAGTCAGGATGAGCCGACATGGCCTGATTGCAACGGTAAGGATTGCATGCTGGAACTGCCTCCTTGCTGCTTTGGGGGCCCAGGTGCTACGGCCCAGGTGCTCGCTGCACGCCTCGGATGATCGACGGCCTTGTTACGTGCGTTGCATCGACGTGGGTACCGATGGACTCGTGCTGCTCTTCACGTATTGTCGCCGGTGTCCAAACGTTGCCGTCGTGCTGGTGCTGGTGGTGCCATCATGAGAGCACAGCAGAGTTTGGAACGCCTTCGTCCCCGCATCCACATCCAGCTATCTCTTTCTTATTTTTTTGTGGGGTGATTTCAACCACACCTCATGCACCAGCGGGTAAATGGGGCGTTTGGAATCACTATTATTGCATCCTGCCACTACTTGCTGTCCAATCCTCCGTGTGCTATCAATGTGTTTTGCCTCATGTTCCGGGATATCCTGATGTCCTTTGTTGCCCAGCCATCATCGTGCAGGCTGAGACGCGAGCCCGCCCATCTGGCCTCCGCCCACACTCTCCTCGATGTCATGCATGGAGAGCAAATCCGCGGTCCTTCTCTTCCATTCCAATCCTGTTTGTGTCCATGCACGCAACCCGTCGCAGCGAGTCCGGCATCGAGCCGAACGAAGAAGGCTTTTGGTAGGCCCCTGGCACCATCTTGTCCATCCCGTCCTCGGAACTGCAATCCTCAACACGCCCGTAGCAAGCCGCACCCGTCGAACCATCTGTAGCCGTCGAACATCGCGAGCTAGATCCTGCTCCGTAGCCTGTGCCGTCGTACAGTCCTGCATGCTGTCCCCACACACTTTCGCGCTTTTGCATCTTCGCAGCCTTGTACACGCGGCTCTGCAGCTTCTTGGTGCCTGTCATGTCCAAGTCAAGATCTAGCCATTTGGGAACTAGTCCTTCGGCAAGGGCTTCATCAAGCACCATTTCCATGCCTCCATTATCGAGCATGTCCTTGTTGTGCACCACAAAACTATCCAGTCTCGACATGATGTCTTCGGCCGCAGCAAAATCCTCTTCGCGGCGGGCGAGGATATGTTCTAGCTCGTCGTCAGCTCCATCTTCGTGGCCGTCATACGCCGTAATTTCGATGCGACGTTGACAATCTCCGCGGTGAAAGACTTTGACCAGATAGTTCTTGCCAATAATAACCAATGCATTCTCTATAGTGGACGTCTTGGTTTTGTTCGCAACAAGACAATGGTCATCCAAACGTTCTGTCACCTCGTCGACTGTACTCTGCTGTACATCTTGACGCTCCTGGGACGGTTCCGCAGTATTCTTACCGCTAGGGTGCTCGTCTTCGGAATCGGGTGTCACAGCGTAGTAGTGTTCCATAGCGGCTTGGACGGAATCGGGAAGACTATCTTCTACCGGAGCTGGCCTTGACGGGGATCCAAATGCGTCCGAGCCAGAGCTAGAAGTAGGTGTTGCTGGCTGGTGTCCTCTGCTCTGGTTCAACTGCTGGATACTCTGACGTGGGGTTGGCAGCCTCATACGCCCTGGCTCTAGTTTGTTGGCTGGTTCGAGCATGGGCGATAGAGAGTTTTCCGTCTCCTCCAGGTCTAGGATTTTCTGAATTGGAGCCGGCGATGAGGGGACCGTGCCAGCAGGTATGACAGATGAACTAACAAATAAGTGATATTGCTGGTTCTCGGACGAAGGAATAGGCACGGGAGATGAGCGATGAACGCTCTGCTCAAACGTCGAGTCCCTGCGGCTCAAATCAAATATAGGTTTATCTGCTGGCGACTCTTGGAAACCAAGAAGGAGAGACGAACTTGGCCTGTCCTTTGGAGTTTGCGGGCTCTGGTAATTATATCATCAGTAGGGTTTTGTATATCCTTGAACTACACTTACGTTATCACAAGGGGCAGCAACTGTATCGGACAGCTTGGCTTTAGTAGGTGATCGCAGATTGCGTAAAGAGTTGATACTTCGAAGCTTGTTCGTCCTGATTGATCCCATAACACTCTTGCGCTTTGACGGGCTCTCGTTGCTTGACGGTGAGTCGTGTGCATTTGGACACACCGATGCTGCGCTCGGTGACGAGCATGGGTTTTTTAGGTCGCTTGTACTCTTCTCGGTCTGGTTATGAATGGTGACGGGTGATCCGTTCCTCCGAAATATCAGTATCGATTGGGAATAGTAGCTCAAACGACTTACTCGGTGCTATCCTTTTTGCACAAGAAATGGGAAACGCTCTTCCTAGCCTTGAGAGCGAGGAGATCGAAGTTCATGATTGGCAGCTGCTTGTACTTCGTAGACACCAGGGACTTGGCGATTCGGTAGAGGCTATGAAGTTACTGCAGCGGAGGCTACTGTGGGATGATTTGAGTTGTTGGCCGTCGTCCCGGAGCTCTTGACCACTGAGGCATGATTGTTTACGGCTATAGTCGGTCCTGCTTGACCGTTGAATGCAAGATTCTGGGTAATGGTTTCCATGGCCAGTTGCAGTAGTTGCTATAGATACTCCTGCAAACTTCATTTCGACTTTGTTACCATGCTTTTCGATGAGGACTGCGTCACAAACAGGATAGACCAAAAATGATTGCAAGCATTCCTGACTTTCGGTGTTTTGTTCTGCAGGGGATAAATCAACCACCCGAATTGCCGTAATGCGGAAGCATCAAGCGGAAGGCATCATATTTGGTGTAGTCAGAGCTAGGAAGCGGCAGGCAAGAGACAAAGGTGATGTAATGCGCAGCAAAAGCGGTGTAATTGAGTTCATGTAGAAGGAGTAACACAGCATTGATGCTGAGCATTGCTGATCAGAGTGCTCGAACTGTGAGTTTTTGGAAACTATAGTAAAAAAGCACGAGAACGGATTGCGAGACTGTGGTGTTTGTCAACAGCGCTGGTCGGGTGCAGGCACGTGATCAACGCGGACTGTGCGCATAATCCTTGCCTAGCTCCTTCACGTCGCGATGCACTCCAGTGCGCAAGTGCCTCAATCACCAAACAGCGCAACCGCCCTTGATCACATGTCACAGCCACCATCGACATCCAAGCCGCCCAAACACATATCGCCCTGATAGCCTGCCGTGGCCCACGCAACACGGCCAAAAACCCACAATGGCGCGCGGACGCCCTTCCCGAGCTGCAGCGCGTCGCAGCACGCCTGTTCGCAGCGCAACACCACCGCAGGACAGCGACGAGGAGATGATAGACCCACCAGAGTCGCGCGCTGAAACGCCCAAGGAGGAAGAGGAGGAGGAGGAGGAGGAGGCCGAATCTGCTGCCCAGGCAAGCGACGAGGAAGCCGCGCCTTCTGAGCGCTCGCCATCGCCCGTAGTCATTCAGCCCTTCCCACGCAAGAAGCGCCTTGGCCGGCCTCCCAAGAACCGGCCACCGGATTGGAATGTCATCGAACCCGACAACTCCGAAGGCGGCACTCCTGTCAAGCGCAAGCGTGGGCGGCCGTCAGGCGGTGGCCGAGGACGGCCGCCAAAGGGAGGCCCGTCGCACACGACCCGCGTCCCGATTGATAAGGAGGGAAACATGATGGATGTCATCAACGATGAGGTTGACTTGCCTGAAGACGAAGAGGGCGAGAAAAAGGTTGACAAGCTGGGCAATCTCATGGGCGGAAGAGACTACCGAGTGCGCATCTTCACCATCAAAGGCCGGGGAGAGAGGCAGTACATGTTGTCAACTGAGCCAGCCCGTTGCTGTGGTTTCAGGGACAGTTATCTGTTCTTCACCAAACACATGAAACTACACAAGATCATCATTGACGATACCGAGAAGAGGGATCTTATCGACCGCGAGATTATCCCGCACTCGTACAAGGGTCGTGCTATTGGTGTCGTTACTGCGCGCTCCGTCTTCCGGGAATTTGGCGCACGGATCATTATTGGCGGCAGGAGGGTTACTGACGACTACTATGTCACGGCAGCGAGGGAAAGCGGCGCAGTCGAGGGCGAGCTTGCGGACCCCAATGATCGACTTCCTCCTCCAGGAGAGCCATATAACAAGAACCAATACGTAGCCTGGCACGGGGCTAGTAGCGTATATCACACTGGTGTGCCTAGTGTGCCCACAGCTAACGGCAAGCCTGCGCCTGGAAAGCGAAAGGTCAACATAACCTCTGCCAATTGGCAATTCGAGCATGGCTCAGCTGCGAGGTATGTGCCATTTCTATATTCACTATTCGATCCTTGAGGCTAACGCGTTCTAGTCGCTTCAACTCGAGTCTTTCCAAGCTACGCAAAGCAAATCTCACGGGAGTCTACGACCCGCATACTAACCTCATGTGCTATCCCAAAGTCACACAACCAACACATGCGCGATGGGAAGAAGTGCCAGTTCAAGATAGCGATGTACCTCCCATTGTCCGTCACAAATATCTCGTAGTCGACACTGTCTTCCAACAGCCTCCTTTTGCTGGACTAGGCATCCCAGGCCCCGATGGCGACTTTATTGACGTCGGTACCAACGGGCTACCCAATCTGGACATCGAAGATGAAAAGCACATGAAGCCCGAAGAGCTCGAGGCGTTTGCACATATTAAACGTGAAGAGCAAGAATGGCGCCGTCAATGGGGCGGAGAGAGCACCGATGGAGCGCGATCAAAGCCAAAGATAGGGTTTGTAGGCGTTCCGGTTTGAGAAGCTCAACGTAAGAATAGGTTACCTTGTTGTCTTTCTGTCTCACGTGTTTTCCTCTTACACCTAGTTCTATATTTTTTTTTCTTAGGCGAGAGGGGTTTGTCTTCAATAACCGGTGGTCCGGCGTAAAATATATACCAACATGTCACTCTGTCACCCCCCATACCCATATGGGCGGGGCCGCGCTTGACTTTTCCAGACTACTTATTCTTATACTTTCTTTAACCCCTACTCGTAATCTGCCACATTATAGCCATGAGCGTGAAATAAAGACACGGTTTCTGTACTATCTGAGATGCTTCGGGCTTTTCTCGTCGCCTCATTTGCTCTGTCTCCCTAACTCTAATTATGACTCTAACTGTGACTTTAACTATGACTCCAACTAGCATAAAGATGTCTTGGTTCTTGAAGTCTATAATACCGTTCCATTCCGCGTCTTACTCAGACCACAACCTAGCCCCCCCCCCCAAAAAAAAATCTTACCTAATAATATAAAGCCGAGAAAAAAAGCCCCAAAGAGTTAAAAATGAGCTGATCCCGGAAGGAAGGAAAAAAAAAAGTATGTGTCGATGAAGGTTTTGTGCCGATATGACTGTACTACTAAATTCTAATTCTTGATCTGCGAGGGGAAAAAAAAATCCGACATAAGCCCATTCATTCCCCTTTGCCTTTTTATTTCCCCTTGGGTATCATTTTTATCGCGATGCATTTTCTTGCTGTGGAAATCCGCACACGTACCATTAAATCACGACTGAAAAAGACAGACAAGAAATTTAGTAACCAGCACAAGATAATTACTTAGACTTTAACAGAAGCAGTTAGTGGCAAAGGAGGCATTATCACATACGTAAGACATTTGAAGAGAGAAAAAAAAAACACGAGATATACACGTTTATATATATAGGGTATATATACGACGCTATTGATAGATATATACCTCGTAAACCCTAACGCCCATTATATGTATATACTTAACCCCCCCTCCCCCCTTGCACAGATTCCGACTCTTCGCGTGAACCATGCGCGCGCCCTTTGGGCGAATAGGTCGTTTTGCCAGGCTTGTCGTTGTATATCATGCTTTCCAGCTCATGCCATGCGTTCTGTGTACAATAAATGAGGAGCCAAAAAAAACTTATACATGACCGGAACTGTTATTAAGTAAATGTGCTATAGATGCTACTGGGACCCAGTACACCAGGCAGCGGTAGGTCGATCGGAAACTTTAGGGGGGGAAGGGGATTTTTAATTTATCGGATACACGGTACGGTGTCTTTGCTTTGGACTTGATTATTGCGCGCGTGTGTGTGTGAGAGGGAGGCAAAAAAAATAATCATGTTGCGATCGAGTGTTACAAATCAATAAATTTTACGTATTTCTTGCAAATATATCATGGATAGGTATCTTGGCGCGAACATGGTAGTACTATGTATACAGTACACATGAATGCTGGGGATCTCGATTATTTTTGGTTCCAGGAATCAGATGCGATGGGATGCGATGCGCTCGCTCTACTTACACCTACGTATGTTGCTGTTTTGCTGAGACGACCCTCGGGTACTTGCATACATAACGCACATACTATACTGTACATAGCATGACGGGGCATGAGTTATCAGCATGGCATGGCATGGTACGGCGATTTTTCGCGCACCGAGAAATTCAACGGAACATTCATAATTATAATCATTATAATCATACAGAGGTGACTGTCAAAAGTTCTTGCTAACAGGGGTGCATTAATTACCGCTAAAAATAGGGCTAAAGCTATATAGATTAGTCCCGCCGCCCCTCTTTATACTTATTGCTACCTTTAAGTTTCATAATTTCTTACATATAAAATAAAATATACTTTATTTAAGCTTAAATTTAGTATTAAGATAGCTTATCTTAGTACTATTACTATACTTTTATCTTTTTTTCTTAACTTTTTAGTACGCTTTTTTATATTATTTTTCTTTTAAGCTATAGCTAAGCTACTTTAATAGTATTGAAATTAAGTAAATTATCTAGCTATAAGAGCTACTTTACTTTAGTATTTTAGTATATAGTTCTTTAAGCGTAGTAGGTATAGAAAGATACTTTATTTTTTCTAAATAAAAATATATAGTTTCTCTTTTTAGTATTTCCTTATAAAGAGAATTAGCTTTAAAATAAAAACTTAAGTTTAGTCATACTACTAATTAATACTACTATAACTACTCTTATAAGCTAGCTTACTTATCTCTTTTACTTATCTTTATTATAGAACTCTACTAGGCTTATTATAAAATCTAAGCTTCGTTATACTTATTATAAGCTCTTACGCCTCTTTTATAAGAGGCTTTAACGCTTTATTTAACTTTTTAATTCAAAAAGTAGCGTCTTTTTTTTTATATAGTTTTAGGCCTTTAGATATAGTGAAAACTTTTATAGTTATATATAAAGTAGCCTTAAAATATAAATTTAAAGTAGCTTTTTTACTACTTTTAGATAACACTTTTAGTACAGACTTTATCTAAGTGTTGCTATATATAATAGCTACTATAATAGTAGTTAAGAATAATAAAAGTCTTATCTAACTAAATAATGTTTTTTAATCTTTAAGTATTTAATCTTTATAAGTAAGACACTACTTAAGTTTTTCTTATCTTATTTTTATTATTAACTTAAGCTTTCTTATTAGCTTTGTCTTATTATAATTAGCTACTTAAAGAACTTTTTATGTAGTAGATAATAAGACGTTATAGCTATAAATACTAAGATTACTAGTAATATTAGCGTAGCTCTTCTTTCTTCTATACCTATTATAGTATATATTCTTAAAAGTAGTATTATATATTTCTTTTTATTTATAAAAGTAGCTTATATATAAGGTATCTTTAAAGTACTATAGAAGAATTTTAATTAGGCGTATATTAGGCTTAAAGCCTTACTAGTAGTCTCTACTATAAATTAAGTTAACTATATATAATAATATACTTATTATTTTAATAATTTTATGTATAGATTTACCAACTACTAAAAAGTAACTTTAATATAATAGTAAAAGAGTAAGTTAATATATCTATTATTAGAGCTATAGTAGATTCAAAATACTTAAAAAAATAAGTATATAAGCTATCGCTAGCTTTAAAAAATTAGTGTAGGCGCCAAGAATGGTCAGGCCAATAGGCTAGCGGCTTAGCGTGGCGCTAGCAAGAACTTTTGACAGTCACCTCCGTACTGTAGTCGCAATTATTATTATTATTACGCGTATTATGATTAGCGGAAACGAAACGATTAGATCCCGCGGTTCTCCATATATGCACAGGGGAAAAAATCATTCCAGTTGCCCCCCCCCCCTCTCCCTTCCTCCCCTCTCAAGGATCCGTGCGCACTCTTTGATTCTTTCTAGAAGATTAATTTGGGGCGAGAGGAGAAGGAGGAGGGGGGGGGGCAATGGATGACATGAGATTTACCCTACCCTACCCTACCCTACCCTACCCCCAGTTCGTTCATGCGCACACACACACTTTTTTACGCTAGTACTACGTATACACATTACAGCCGGATTACGGCTGCCGCGCAATTTCCTTTGGGTTTCGCGTTTTTTTGTTTGTGTTCATGAACCCGAGTACCGGGTGTTTTGTTCCAAATGGTACGATGTTATTACTCGTAAGGGAAAGTGAGATTCTAGTGTGTACATGGTATTGGGATTGGGATTGGGAGGGGGGTTAGGGGGGGCTTTTTTTGTTTGTTTTAGGGCAGCAATAGATGGGATGGGGGTGGGGTAAAGATAAGATAGTAGGTAAGATGGTGTAGGATAGGGATAGTACTATGGAAAGTATGGATAGCATGTACAAAAAAGGACTATCCTTTATTGAGTGAAACGGCAAAGGCGGGGGAAAAAAAGAAAGGAATAAACGTGGCCTCGGTCACTAACTTTGCTCGAGATTAAACGTGCTGTAGGAAAGGCTAGGAGACTCGTCTACATCCCTCTCTCTCTCTCTCTCTCTCTTCCTGCACTGATAGCCATCACAGCGCTATCTGTTCGTCGCTCTATTCTTTCTAGATCAACCAACCCACGTGCACACTCGTTTCACAGCCGCGCCACCCGAAACCTAGTGTGCCCCTGTTTATTGCGTCTTCCAACGACGACTGTCTAGCAACCCATGCATATAGTTTGCCTACATACGTACGTACGTACGTACGAACAAAGAAAGGAACGAGAAAAATAGACAGCGGTTTTGGCAACGCTGATGCCCTTGCAAACGAGGGGGGGTGTCGGCAGAATGGGCAGCCGATCAAACAGACATGGGCCTGGCTAGGACCAAACACACACACCCCAAAGTCGTTTCGGTGAAACTAAGTCATAGGATGGCACATATCTGCAGGCGACCATCTCCTGCAGCCGAAACATGGAGTGTGTGGCGAGCAGCAGGCTAAGTAGCAAGCCCTATTCGTATGTCCAGTAGTATTGCTTGAAGATCTGTGGGTGGTGGCGGCGGCCTGGGGAAGAGATAACAAAGGTCATGTGTGTGAGAGAGAGCAACTAAACATGATGTGCCAGCGGCTATTACCGACGGCTATATTAGCAACCGTGTGTCCGAAGCTAAAGTTTATGCGTAAAAGCGGCCTGGACGAGGTGATCTGGGGACGATGGATGGTTCCAGATGTGGGAATTGCAATTGGACAAGATTCACCTTGCTGATTATTTCTGGCATGCATAGCAGCGATCAGACTTTATGGAAACTGCCGGGAGCATGAATGCCCTCTCAATGGGGAGTGGTGGGTTGAATTTCAGCGGCTGCGATTACAACGTTTGAAAAGGTCTGTGGGCTGTCACGTTTGATCGCCGAGGCCAACATGTCGAGGTAGGGGGATCTTGGCTGCAATTTGCGGTCTGGCGGAGGACGTGGGAACGCATGGCCTAGGCAGGGGAGAGGCGAGACGATCGCACAATGCGGCCAGACTCACCGGAGCGAGCGATGGAATCTTTTAGACCTTTGGAATCGCCATTGACTGCTTGTCGCAACACTTGCAAGATGCGGTTTCAAGGGAGGACTGCCGATAGATAGCCATTCGTGTTTTTTTTTGGAATGTCGAGCAGTTGGTGCACGAGCCTTTATTCGTCAGAGGTTCCTGACCCTTCATATAGACGATTCATCTACGCATAGACAGTAATACCAGATAGATCCACGAGCGATATCGCAGCCTGGGCATGGCTGGATAGGCTGGAACCATTGGACAATATGCTAACTCGAGGCCAAAAAACACTATCTGCCTCAACATGCTGCTATCTTCCAGCAGCATTTCGTATGCGGGTGGGGGTTCGGCGGTAAGCAATGAAGATCGGTCAGTCATGGCTGTAAGGCGACATTTTTCTCTCCGGTGAGACCATCGGAGGGCGGTAACAGAAGAGGCGGTAGCATGATGACTGTTGCTGCTATCTACCACTATCCACAGACTTGTCGGTGACGGTGTCCTGACGGCAATATGGCCGACAAAGGTTGGGTGCAGGGCGATGGCTCGAAGCATCTAGAACGGTACACTTGAGGCAGCTGTGTTTAGAGGGATACGATAGGTCCGAAATCCGGTGCCTGAAACGGTGACGAGTCGGACGGTGGAGCACAGTGCGACGGTTCATGACAAAGAAGGCAACGCAGTGCTCAGACACGGGCTGCGCACGCCTGGGTCACTTACGACGAGATTCCTTCGTAGGGCAGCAGTTTATTGTGTGGCAGTGATGGGGCCATGGGATTGCGGTGTGTGTGTGCAGAGGCAATTTCGGGACGGAGGCAACGGCCTGCGTCGCTTACAACCAAGCAGCCAGCCAGCCAAACTAAGCTGCAGTGCTGGCCGGGCCTTTGGCCGAGGCGGACGGTTGCTCGTCTCACATGCTCCACGACGCAGCACCCCAGATTCACGGCAGTGTGACAGCGCCGGATTTCTGCAGCAATAGAGTGCGAGCAGGCGACGCTAGGCCTGCATGCATTTTGCCCTCTTACCTGAGCAAAGTCAGGGACCAAGCCGGGGTTGCGCAAATCTTCCGGCAATAGGCCGCACTTTGGAAGGTCAGAGCCAGGGCCGTAGATTGCTGAGCTGGTGTGGGGACGCCAGGGCGGGCGGTGGGTGGTGGGCTGGCTAGCAGGCCGGCACAATAGATTGGAAAAGATGGGGTGCAGATGCTTCGAGAAGACGGCGCAGCGGGGTCTCTATCTGCTGCACCTGAGGGTCGTGAATTGGCCGTAGATTGAGGGCAATAAAGCAGGGGGAGCGTGACTGACGGCGACTGCAAACTCGAGCCGGAACGAAGAGGCGAGGGGGGGCCCCCAGGAGAGGCGGATTGGGTTTGGCTGACGGCGTCTTACGACACGGCTACATTGGACCTGTTTCGCGTCGCACAGCGAGTGATACAGGTGGGCCGGGTACGTGTGTGTATGTAGTAAGAGCTAATTCGAGCTCGTACTCGGCCGCCATGGCTGGGTCAGCGTGTGAGCATGAGGCCATGTCGGTAGCGTACCTAGCCCGCAAGGTGTAGACGTACATGCGTGCCTAGCGACTGCAGGTGTCGAGCAGCAGCTAGCAGGCCGCGCAGGCTGCAACGTCAGGACAGGGCGGAGGGCCCCCTGACGCGGGCAGTGGTGGTGGTGGTGGTGGTAGTGGGTGGTGAGCTGGGTGTGGTGGACTTTTGGTCGTGGTGAAACCACTCGCGGCCCGCGGCTGAGTGCCTAGCGTAGGGGTGTGCCGGGCTTACCACCCTGGCGCCACCCGCCCCAAAGCAGCCTAGCGCCCCCGCGGCCTCGACGCCCGCTTGGCAGCTGCCTATTAAAAGGTCCGGACATGCCACTCTGTCCTCTTCAGAGCACAGCCCGCCACCAGGTCTTAACCACCCACTATGCCCCCTCTTCTCCCCGCTCTCCTCCGACTACAACATGGCAGAGCACTCCTTCGACTCTAGTCTCTTTTCCCACACCATGAACATGTCGACCATCACAGCAGCCCCCCTCGCCGCGCCACCACCAGCACCAGCACCAGCACCCGCATCAGCATCGGCATCCCCCGCCGCACTAGCCACACTAGCCACAGCCGACACCATGATGCCCACCACCATCAAGATGGAGATGATTGAGAACATGGACCACTCGCCCTCGCCCCCCCAGCGCGCCGCCTCCAAGTCGTCGGAGCCCTCACACACACCGGCCCCCGAGAGCAGTGCCTCGAAGCCGGTCAAGAAGAGGAAGTCGTGGGGCCAGGTCCTGCCCGAGCCCAAGACCAGCCTGCCTCCCCGCAAGCGCGCCAAGACCGAGGACGAGAAAGAGCAGCGCCGCATCGAGCGCGTCAAGCGGAATCGTCTCGCCGCACACAACTCGCGCGAGCGCAAGCGACAGGAGTACGAGGTGCTCCAGAACGAGAAGGACGAGCTCGAGGCCAGCATGAGGGCCTACAAGGAGAAGATGGCCCAGATGGAGGCCGAGCTCCGCTACTACCGCACAAAGTACCCTGGCGAGGCGCCCACATCAACCGCCTTTGACCTGTCGACGCCCTCACACGACTCGTTCGACACCATCTGCCCCGCGCAGATCCCAACATCCTTCCCCAGCCCCGAATCCATGGACTCGATGGACTCACCCCGTGACTCCTCGTGCCAGCCCGAGACGCCCCCGTCAAGCTTTGAGGCTACCCCCGAATTCGACTCGACACAATACTCTGCCGCGGTATTGTGCGACCTGCAGTGTCAGTCGACTTCGGGAGCCTCTCTACGGGCGATCTGGGCCTACCTTTCTCTATTCAACCTTTCGCACCCGTCGATGACAAGCCTGTCGTCATGGAAAACTTCTTCGACTTTGACCAGTTCCCCAAGTGTAGCCCCACGACGAGCACACCCATGGAACCCGCTTTTAGCATGGTTGATTCTTCTTCGGTCGATGTCTTTGGCTCTACCCTCTTCGACCACAACGCTTACTCCAACTCTTATGGCTTTCTTGACGGCTTTGATGCAAAGTTCCACGACTTGCAGAGTGCTTCTGGCGCAACTTCGGTTAGCGACGAGGCCCTCGCAGCGGGACAGCTTTAGCAGCGACGCCATCGTGAGACTCAGTGAGAGTGCGAGTGAGCGAGCTGGGTCGGAAGATGGCGGCTGTAGATCACGACTGATGAGATGTCCTAGGTCTATACAATTGGGTCGGCGTAATGGTGTACAAACAGGAAGATTAGAGAGGGTATCCTTACAAGGGCAAAACTTTGGGTGCGGTTTCACACGGAGCAGGACGGCCTGTGTCGCGTAACATCTTGCAGTAACAGTTTCTTTTTATCAAGACTCGTTGGTATGTCGTTCCTGGATATTGTTTCCTGGATGGTTTGACAATGGCGGACAAGATACACCAAGGGCTGGTGCCTTCAGCCACATAATACCAATAACCTACTGTTCAAACGTACTATTTCTTTGCTTGTGCTTGTGCTTGTGATGTTTTTGATTTTGCCTTTTGGTCTTGAAGTCGATCACAGCTGATAAGCAGCAGCCCGACCCAAACTTGGACCCTCCTTGATGTGTCAGTAGGCTGTGTCACCCAGTAATGTAGAGGAGAGAAGACATTCTCCACACTTTCTACTCGCTCTACGCTGCGCTAACACAAAGGCAGCCCAAGACTCTCCACTTGGCGAACTCCGCGCTCCTTGTTCTCTCAGGCCGAGACCCCAAGGACTTGGTGGTGTCTCTCCCACTCCCATCCTGCATATGCACGCTGACGCCGCCTTTTTTTTCATGCCGTCTGCCGTCCCATTCCTTTGCCTTTGTCGCTCTTTTTTCCCCTGTCCTTGTGCGTGTGCTTGTGCTTGACCCAATCTACTCGCCTTTGCCTCTTGCACACGTCGCCTGTCGCCTCTGCACAAACACCCACGCCAACCAGTATCAACTTTGTTTCCTTTCCATGTCCCACACAGACAAGGGAAGGGTGTATCCACTCACTCACATTCAATGCATTAATTGCTTCTGCCTTTCCGCTCCCCGAACACTAAAAAAAACGAAGCTGGGGGGCTGGCTGGCTGGCTGGTGGTTCTTGGTCTTGCGTCTGGTCTGGTCTGGTCTGGCTCTGGTTCTGGTGCCGTCCTGCCCCGCATTTTTCCTTTTTACCCAGTCTTTCCACACTTCCACACTTCCAGCTTCTGTCTTGCTCTCTCTCTGTGTGTGGCCTCGGATTCCAGCGTTCCCGCTCCCGCTCCCTTGTCCCCATGATCCATGTTACGCCTAATTGTGTGCCCTGATTTGACGGATGGATCCCGACGGGCCATGGCCTACTAGCTGATCCTGAATGACGTTGATCCTAGGGTGGCGGGGGGGGCTGAATAGCAGTGGGCTGAATGGCTGAATGATGGCTCCCCCCCCCCTCTTCCCTTTGGCGGTGGCCCCCTCCTCGTTACTATTACCGAGTCTGGGCTTGCGAACGAAAAGAGCGAACCAATTGCAATGTCCGATTTCCACGTGAACCGCGTGAATGAAGGAATGGAATTGAGGGGTGGGTGTGGGTGTCGGGCATGTAACCATCACACACTACAATGCAGTTACTTGTTCCTGCTACTGTCACCGTTACCGTTACAATCACCGTACAAAGCAAGTGGGCTGAACCTATTTCTTTTTCACTCTCTGTCGCTCACTGGCTGGCTAACTGACTTGGCTCGCTCGCTCGCTTACCTTACTTACCTGTGTGTGTGTGTGAGCTGTGAGTGTGGTACTTTTTCAAGCTAAACTGGAGGAGGAAGAGGAGCAGGAGGAATTGACCAACCAAGTTACCCCCAGCTAGCGAATCCGCTAATCCGCGAAGCTAAACTAAACACAGCATAACTAAACACAGATCCATGTTTTGCAGGGCAAAATGGCACCAACCAGCAAACCCCCCCACCTGCTGCTGCTGCGGCGGCGGCGGCGGCTCAGCTCGCCCACAACCCAGCTTCTCACCGGCAAAAGCATCTACATGGGTTGATCAATTGAGGTACTCTCGGCCAGACAAGCCCGCTCGCCCACCAGGTTCACCCCAAGGGCCTCAACAACGAGGGGGGGGGAGCAGATTTCCAGCATGCTAACATACGAGATAGTCAGGATTACGTGGGGGGGCAGAGAATCGGCGAGAACAAGGGGAGAGCCACGCATCCGCTTTGCACACCGCTTTGTGCACATGTACCTGTGTGCTGTACCATAGCATGGACACCCCCCTCTTGCCGCCCCACCAGCCAGCGGCACAGAAAGATAGTGATAGTAAGGGAGCTAGACTGATGGGAGGGGGAGGGGGGGGGCTACATGGGTGTGGGGGTATTCCCTTCATTCATTCATTCATTCAAGCCAGTAGATTAGAGCAACTAGCTAACATGCAGGGTAAAATCTAGCTACAACGACAACGACAACAACGACAACCTCCACAAAAAACGTCGTCGGCTGTCTACTTGTGTGCATACTATGCAATGCAATGCAATGCCAACGTTCCCAGACTACGGTTATTACTCGGACAGTCTGCAGTGCAAACACTGTACATACACCTATGTACATGCCCCTGGGAGGGGACCCTTACTGCTGCTAACTGCTACTACTAACTGCCAAACCCACTCCAGTCGTGTCAATCGACCATTGCAGTCTAAACAGTTTAACCAGCCAAAAAAAAATCAACAACGCATCCTTGCTCGTACCACATACACTTGTTTGCCGCCGACACATGTTAATGCATGTGCATCGTTTTTGTTGCGGTGAAGGCGCTTGGTGCTGGTGTCTCGCCGCTTGGCCCAGCCCAACGCCAACAACAAGTGATCTGCTCTGCATGCCCATCTGGAGCTTACTTGGTAGCCTGGTCGACAGGCGCGGGCTTGTTGGAGTCGGTGGCTGGCCGGCCTTGACCAGTGTGACCTTTCCTGGGGGCTTCACCGCCGCCCGAAGCGCTCATGCCTTGGATGCCTACATATCCCGGGGCTTATGATTAGCTTCGTGTCTGAGGTTGTCTTGGGATGTTTTGGTGCCATTGGATTGGGGCAACACGGAGCGGCAAGTGAGGGGTACTGGGAATGGAATGGCGGGTGCGAGGCCTTGTTGGTCTTGTCGTGATGGTGGTCGTCTTACCTTCGCCCTTCTCCGGCTCAGGCATCGGAGCTACCTTCTTAGTGTGCTCCATGCTGGCCTGGTCGTCGGTGGCGTTTCCATCAGTCGGCGTGCTCCGGCCATGCTCATTGGATCACTCGACTTACATCTCCAGACGCGCCGTGGATGGCGTGCTGGCCCGTCTCAATGGGGCCGTTGTCTGAGGATCCGTCTCCGTTGCGAGGCATCGTTGCTTGTAGATGTAGATGTAGCTATGTGCGAGTTGACAAAGTTGGAAAAAAGGAGGATTGTGTTTCTGGATAGATGAGCACAACGAGAGAGAGAGAGGGGGAGAGAGGTAAAATACATTATCTACATAGCATTGACGTCAAGAATAACATGGCATTTTGTGCATTTTCCCCCAATGATGTAAAACTGTCTCGCTGATGTCATGGTGTGGGGGGGGGGCGCGCGAACACGGAAATACATAGTTTGAACTACCCACCTCCGTTTGAAGAACAAACTCCCAAAACTCAAAACTAAGTGTATCAAGGGAAAAAAAACCGTCTGAGATCGACATGGCGTACAAATGACGTAATAAGAAACTTTGTTTTTGTTTTCTCTTTCACACTTGGCACTCGTTACTCGCGCTTTTCATTGCACATACTTGTATGTTTTTGGCACAGCGAAAAGGCTACGTAGGAGTAAGTTTATGTTTAGTTTGGTCTTGTCTTGTCTTGTCTTGCCGCGGTGAAAATGGTTCAGCACGAAGCATGACATTCAGACGGAATTTCACAGCGTGATTTGTACACAAAGTGTAGGAATAGGAATAGGAATAGGAGTGTTTGTACATGTCTGCGAATATGGATGTATCGCGCCATGCCGTGCACTTGCCGTGCTGAATTGGCTTTGTGTTTGCTGGTACTGAACATGGAGTTCTGGACGTGTTTACAGGGCATTTTGTGACCAAGACATGATACATGCTGTTGTTTGGCTTTGTGGGCGCATAAACATGTGTAGCGTCGTACTGTGCGGGCTTTTGAATGTGGATATATGGAGAGTGAAATGATGCAGTGATACCGCACGGATTATAATGTTGAAGCAACGCGATGAGAGACGGATTAAAGTCGTAGATAGTCATCGCTCATTTACAGCGTATACACTTTACATGCCATTCTACCTCGCGCTTCTAACCCACCCCACAACACCAACACTGTATCCAACGAGCCCACCGACTCTTTCCCTCTCCCTCTTCGCCTCGTCCTGCCACGTCTTCAGCTGGCCCACCAGCTCGGCGTCCTTGACCACAATATCGCCGTGAAGGCGCAAGAAGACGCTCATCCACGCCTGCACAAGCTCGTAGTCACGGCGCTCCTGGAGTCGAGCTGTGAGCGCCTCGACAAACGTCCGTAGCTCCGTGTACGGCTCCGTCGTGTCAAGCGTGCGGATTGCAATGTCGGCGGCCGAAGGCGGCAGCGAAGCAAGATGGGATAGGAGAGGAGCGTATTCGGCCGTCTCGGTCGCATGCGCCAGGTGGCGGCTGAACTGATCCGTGGCAGTAGCAGCGCTGGATCGCGATGCGAGCGCGGAGCTGGAAATACGAGATTTTGAGTCTTGGTCGGTAGAGGCTGCTGCGTTGTCGTCTACGCCTTGTATCTGGTTCTGACCTACAGACGGCAGGAAGAAGGGTGCCTTTTCCGGAGCTTTGGGGGCTTCTTTGGGCTTGTTGCGAGCACGGATGACATCCAGGTGCAGCAGCGTTTGCCAACGTGACTTCGGGACTAAGCTGAGAGTCGTGATCTTGTCACTGAGCTGATCCATAATGGGAACGGTAATCTCGTCTTCATCCTCGTCTGCCTTCTGCTCTTCTGTAGCGGCTTCCACGACAGCGACGCCGCCTTCGCCAGACGCTGTAGGTGCGCTGACTGAGACGATATCATCCTCTGTTATTTGACGCGTTGACACATGCGTGAAAAGCGTCCGGTTCGTCCAGATGTGCACGCCGACCTCGCCATCTAGACCGGTAGCGAGGAACTCACCGGAAGGCGAGAAAGCTACAGTGTTGCACTTCTTGGGAAGCCTCATTGCGTCAATGAGATGTCCAGTTGGCAGGTCCCAGACCCTGACAGTAGAGTCTGAAGCTGCAGAGATAATCCACCGCCCGTCGCTCGAGAAGGTGTAGTCGAGTATCTGCAATCCGGTCTGGGATCGTGAGGCCCAGAGCTCTCGAATAAGTTTCTTGGTCGTGATGTCCACAACACGGATTGAGCCATCGTCACAGCTCAATGCAATCAGGTCACTGTTGCGATGGTAGCGCATCCCAAGAATCTTCGTCATGGGGTACCAGTCAATCTCATGGAGCAGGATGCCTGTAGCAAAGTCCCACAACTAGTTTGATGTTAGCGGTGTCGAGTTGGAAAGAGTGTCTCTACGTACCTTTACTTTTCCATCGTCCGAACAACTGATAAGTATACGGTTTAGGGCATCCACGGCAAGGCCAGTGATGGCTCCTCTGTGCTTGCCTTCTCCTTTGACGAACTTACGGGGAGAATCATCTCCCAGTTCAAGAGCCTCCTCAGCCTGCAGTTGCTGTAACCTGTACTTCTTCGCCTCGGCTGGCGTAAGGCGAGCGGGGAACTTTCGTCGAAATTGGCCAGACTGTAAGTTGTACATGTCAATGGAGCCACCAGCAGAGCCAATGAAAGCAAATGTACCGCAGGATGAGATTGCAACACTCCTGACTTCGGTTCCGTCACCTGTATCAAACGCCCACCTTCCTGCTCGTTTGCGGCCCCAGAACCAGGTTCGTGCGGTTTTGTCGCCGGCGTGCCCAGTAACAATGCTCTCCCATCCGGTCATGTTGACTTCCGAGGTCTTTTTGTCTTGTCCCTTGACCTTTGACGAGTTGTTCCAGATGCCAGCCACACCGGGCATGGTGCCCATGCCGCCATCGCGGTTCAAAGAGCAGGCTATGCATGTAATGGCAGGAGCCTTTAGATCCTCCAACTTGGCATGATGTTTCGATGTGTCGGCATTTCCATGCAGTAACCCCATCTTCTTTGCCTTGCTCTGGATAGCACCCTGGCTGAGCTCAGTACTCTGCCCATCTCGTCGCAAACTCCAACCCCAAAGACTGCGGTCTTTGCTCGCGCTGAGGAGCCATTTGCCAATGTCATCAGAGCCGTCCGAGTTTGAAGGGAGGAAGCGGAGAGTCGACACTGGGGCAGCATGTCCGTCACGGAAATGAAGAATGCGCGGTATGGGCGAAAAGGGCGTTTCGTCAAAGATCCAGCTCTTCAATGAATTATCCAAGCCACTCGATACGATTACTGCCTGACCAGCGAGAAATTCAATCTTGCTGATACCACCCCCAACGCCACCACTTGCAGATGGAGGCGGGCCATGTGCTCCTCGCAGGGTGCCCGTCTTGCGACCGCCCTTGTTCAGGTCCCAAAATGTAATGTCACCACTGTCGCTGCTGGCTGTTGCCATGACACCGTCTTCACGACCATCGTCACCAGCACCTAGTCCATCGGTTCTGAAGGAGATGGAGGTCACTGGATGCTTCTGGGAACCGCCCGTGTTTAGGCGCATAATCTCCTTGTCTGCGCGTATATCGTGGATCGTGACGGGACCAGATTGGTATGCGATGGCGAGGAGCGACAGAGCGGGTGTTGGCTGCAGCGCAGTCACAGAACCAAAGTCAGCAGCGGGCGGGAGCAGCGTGTACAGTAGCTTCCCGGTGCTGATATTCCATATCTCGACCGAGCCATCTTTTCGTCCCACAAAGATTTTGTTGAGGTACGTGGGCATGTTGCAGATGCAGCCAGAGAGTGGGCTGGACGAAGCGCCTTGGAGGGTGGTATAGTGCTCGAGCGTGGCGGTTCGCCAGACTTCGATTCTGGTGTCGCCGCATCCCACAATCCATTCTCCGAGGACTATCAGCCTCCCGATGCGCTCAATGCCGCCACGGGGCAGCTCCAGCTCGCCCACCTTCTTTCCGCGCTGGAAGATCCACCCGCCGCGTTCGGACTTGCTCTTTGGCCCTGACCAGGCTGCGAAGACCAGCTTCTTCCATGCTAGCGTTGCAGAAATATCCTCGGGCGTCTGCGGGCGGGTTATGAAGACGAGATTGAGGCCGCGCTTGAGATCGTAGGTCTGGAGGGAGCGGCCGACAGAGGTTGTGATCTGGAAGGTAGTCTTGCCGAGGGGGAGCGATGCAAAGGGGACACTGGTGGGGGATACAAGGCCAACTGTCTGCAGCGGGCGTTAGCTGTGGGCGGATGCCTTGAAGCTTTGCACGAGCTTACTCTGAATGGCGCAAAGATCTTGGACTGGCGGACGAGGGGCGCCGAGCCCTTTTCGCCATTGCTCTGCGTCTTTTGGCGCTTTGCGACGGGGCCGCTGGGGGCGCTAGCTTGCACCTGGATGCCGGCCATGAGTGAAGTAGCTGGACAGAGAGCGACTAGGGCGCATGCATGTGCTTGGAGGGAGTCGCGACTTTTTTTCGGGCGGGCGGCGCCAAATTTTTGCGGAGATGAGATTAGATTAGATGGATGGCGGCAGCTGCAGGCGCTAAGCGATCGACGCAGGGGCCCGCCATCGGCTTGGCATCAGATGGCCGGGTGGAGGCGTCCGATGGCCATGGAGATGGGAGCGACGCCGCAGGCCACCAGCACCAGCACCAGCACCAGCACCAGCAGCCAGCGACGCCTGGCCGCCGCGCCAGACGATGTAGTCGAGCGCGGTGATGGCGGCCATGGAGTGCACCAAGTTGGGCCATGCAGCGCTGGGATCGACGCCTCAAGCTCGTCTGCATTTGGATTCCCAGCGGGAGCATTCCGGGCCGAAACATGACATGCAACACGTGGCGCGCACCATACTCGCTACAGCACGCAGAGCGGCCGTCTATGGCTCGAAAGGGTAGAGGAGGGACGGGCAATGCAGGGAGGCGGCCCATTCAGACGAGGGCATTGGAGCATGCCGCCAAGTCACGGACAGTGACGCACCATGGGCGAGGTAGCACCCGCCTGGGGCTGGTTCGCAGGGCCAGAGGCTGCCTTTGGCTGCGCGGGCCCGGCATCGTGAAGGCGTAAAAGGCACCGCCGCCCTCTCCATCGCCCTCCATCGCCCTCGAGCCCCGCGTGCCCGCCCGCCTGCTGGGCCACCGCACCGCCCCGAAGCCGCCCTCGACCGCCCCCGCAGCAGCAGCAGCAGCCGCCGCCGCAGCACCATGGAGCCGTCCCTCTCGCGCACGGCGAGCACCGAGAGCACCGCGTCGTGGCAGCAGCTCACGACGGCGGGCAGCGCGTCGGGCGCGGGCAGCAGAAAGGCCAGATCGAGCGAGCCCGAGACGGGGGCTGCCAATGTCGGGCGGGCCAGCGTCTCGCTGCCGCCGCTGAGCGCAAAGGCAATCCGCCAGAGCCTGCCCGCCCGCCGCGCCTCCAAGGCGTCGGAGAGCAGCTTCTTGGAGTACCTGGGGCATGCCTGGGCCGGCTCTGCCATCGACGAGACGGATGCCACGCCCACGCTAGACACCTCGCGAGCCAGCGTCGCCAGTGCCAGCGCCAGCCTCACCAGCGCCCCCGTCGTCCCGCACCCGCACCCGCCGCCGCCGCCCGCCCCCGAGTCCAAGCGACTCTCCATCTCGTCGTTTGTCTCGGCCCTGTCGACGCGCGGATACAGCTGGAGCGCCCGCAGCTCGCTGGCCGGCTCAGAGCCCGAAGGTGCGTACGTCATGCGCCCTGACCTGACGTGACGGGCCAGCTTTTTTTTCTCCTCCCCTGGCCGCCGACGATACCCACCCACTACTGCCTGTGCCTGTGCCTGTGCCTGTGCCTGTGCCTGTGCCTGTGCCCCCGACTGACTCCCCCACAGCCAGAATGGACCACCCGCCTGGCACCACGACCGCCACCACGTCCTTCTCCGTCACCACGTCCAGCCAGCATGGCAGCCTCGGCACAAAGCCCTCGCCCACGCAATTGCTCTTCCACCAGGACCAAGCACCCGCCGCCCAGGCCCAGAGCCCCAGCGCCCCTCCACAGCAACAACAACAACAACAACAACAACTGCCACCGCACCCGGCCTCGCCCCAGCTGAGCCAGCCGCCGCTCTCGTCGCACCGCCGCTCGCGAAGCCGCACTGCCCGGCGCATCAGCGGCAGCACCGCCCCGAGCAGCAGCCCGGCCAGCAGAGACATTCGCGAGAAGAAGCAGACCAAGGGCATCATCGGCGTCTGTGCCCTCGAGTCCAAGGCCCGCAGCAAGCCCGCACGCAACATCTTCGGCAAGCTGGTCGACGAGTTCGAAGTCAAGATCTTTGGCGACAAGATCATCCTCGACGAGGCCGTCGAGAACTGGCCCGTCTGCGACTTTCTCATCTCCTTCTTCTCGGATGGCTTCCCCCTCGACAAGGCCATTGCCTACACCCGCCTGCGCAAGCCCTTTTGCGTCAATGACCTGCCAATGCAGCAAGTCTTGTGGGACCGCCGCTTGTGTCTCGGTATCCTCGACAAGCTCAACGTTCCCACGCCCAAGCGCATTGATGTGAGCCGGGACGGCGGGCCCAAGCTGCCGTCGGCCGAATTCGCCAAGTCTCTGTACGAACGAACCGGTCTGAAACTTGAGGGGCCCGAGGACGGCACGGGTGGTGGTCTACCCGCGCCCAAGAAAGTCGAGCTGATTGACGACGGCAACACCATCTGCGTGGACGGCATGACCCTCACCAAGCCGTTTGTGGAAAAGCCCGTCAGTGGCGAAGATCACAACATTCACATCTACTTTCACAAGAAAGATGGGGGTGGAGGCAGAAGATTGTTCCGCAAGATCAACAACAAGAGCTCGGAGAAAGACGACACTCTTGAAGTGCCAAGGGCCATTACGGAACCCGGCAGCAGTTACATCTACGAACAGTTTTTGCGGGTCGAAAACTCCGAGGATGTCAAAGCATACACGGTCGGGCCTCATTTCTGCCATGCCGAAACGAGAAAGTCTCCGGTTGTCGATGGACTCGTCAAGCGGAACCCAAGTGGCAAGGAAGTGCGCTATGTGACGAAGCTGAGCGACGCAGAGGCGGCAATCGCATCCAAGATATCAGAGGGTTTTGGCCAGCGAGTGTGCGGATTCGATTTGCTTCGTACTGGAGACCAGAGCTACGTCATCGATGTCAACGGTTGGAGCTTTGTGAAGGACAACGGCGACTATTACGACAGGGCCGCTACCATCCTCAAGGACATGTTCCTCAAGGAAATTGCACGCAAGCAACGCAAAGAAGCCGCCCACCATGCCGCTGCTGATGCGCAAGCTGGGCCAGACGGTGCATCTGGTGCAGGTACAAAGAATGGCTCGGGCCATCGCAAGACTCTCGGGAAGCTCTTCAAAAGCCCCAGTATGTCAAAGATGGTGCATCCCGGTCCCATCCATGCTCATCTACCCCACATGAGACATTCGAGCACTATGCCTTCTTCACCCGAGACATCCTTGAGCTCAACGCCTGTCGCAACCTCGCCTAGTTTCGAGAAGCCCAACCTGTCCGCAATTCTTAACCCACCAACAGCCACCTCGACCACAACTTCTGAAGGTGTAGCTTCTGAACCTGATCTGGCATTTCCGCCTGCTGTGGAGGAAGAAGACTTGGATCTTGAACCGGAAAGGTCCATGTCGGATGATCATGTAAATGTGCCACCTCCTGCCACTGCAGCGCAGTGGAAACTCAAGGGTGTCGTTTCGGTCATTCGTCACGCCGACCGCACGCCCAAGCAAAAGTTCAAGTACACGTTTCACAGCAAGCCCTTTGTCGACTTGCTCAAAGGGCACCAGGAGGAGGTGCTGTTGATTGGCGAAGCAGCATTGCAAAGCGTCAGCGATGCAGTCAAGGTAGCCATGGACGAAGGCATTGAAGATCCAAAGAAGCTGCGTGAGTTGCAGTTGTACCTGAACAAAAAGGGAGCATGGCCCGGCACCAAGGTCCAAATCAAGCCAATGTTTCGAAAAAGGAGAAAGGAAGAGCTCCAACCGGGAGAAACAATGCCTGAAGAGACACCTGAGCCGCAGAAGCCAGAGCCCACAGCTGCAGAAGGCCAAGAGGAGACTGCCAATGCGGGCACAGATGACGAGCCTGAGCTACTCAAGAACCGGAGCGACTCCATGTCGGGAGTCACGTTGTCTCGTATCACCGCGCAAGACAACAACATGGTTCTAGACAAGCTGCAGCTAATCATCAAGTGGGGAGGCGAGCCGACTCACTCTGCCCGGCACCAGACCCAGGATATGGGTGCAAACTTCCGCAACGATCTTTTGTTGATGAATAGGGACATACTTGATGATGTGCACATATTCAGTAGCTCAGAGCGGCGAGTGACTACCAGTGCACAAATCTTCGGTGCTTCTTTCTTAGAAAAGGACCAGTATCTGGCCGAGCACATCCAGGTCCGCAAAGATCTCCTCGACGATTCCAATGCTGCAAAGGATGTCATGGACAAGGTCAAGAAGAAGCTCAAGACGCTGCTGCGTGCTGGCGATAAGGCTCCGCCACAGTTTGCTTGGCCCAAAGACGTCCCGGAGCCCTACCTTGTAGTCAGGCAGGTAGTGGATCTCATCAAGTTCCACCAACGCGTCATGAACCACAACTTCAAGAAGATCGAGTCAGAAGCCGTCTCATCCCTATCTGCACTCCAATCGCCAACGTCGGGGGGACAGCAGCCAGAGCAGCCCCAGTATACTAACGTCAACCACATCCAGTCTCGCTGGTGCTGCAACGAAGGTCCCGAGCTGTTCAAGGAACGTTGGGAGAAACTCTTCAAAGAATTTGGCGATGCCGACAAGGTCGATCCCAGCAAGATATCTGAGCTCTATGATACCATGAAGTTTGACGCACTTCACAATCGTAGCTTTCTCGAGTGGGTATTTACGCCAGATGCCACGTTCGTAGACGAAGAGTCGGTCGTCGAGAGCCCCAAGCAGACGACACCCGACAATCATTCCGGCAAATCGATACCAGTCGGTCCATCCGAAGCCCAGGTCAAAGCAGAAGCCAAGGAGCAAAACTCTGAGAAACCCCAAGAGCGCGGCAGCTTATCCCATCGCATGGGCTTCAGACGCAGGTCTGAGGCTGCCATGAAAGCACCGGGACCGCCGTCTTATGTGCACGAATCCTACTTCAAGCTGTATTCTGGCCTTGGAAACTCTGCTTCAAAGGCACAGACGGACGCGCGTCTCGTTAAGCTGCGCGAGATGTACCATCTCTGCAAGGTCCTCTTTGACTACATTGGTCCTCAAGAGTATGGTATCGAGAGCGAAGAGAAGCTGGAGATTGGACTGCTCACATCACTTCCTCTGCTCAAGGAGATTGTTGGAGACCTTGAAGAGCTGCAGGCATCGGACACGCCCAAGAGCTTTTTCTACTTCACCAAGGAGTCACACATCTACACACTTCTAAACTGCATTTTGGAGGGTGGCATCAAGACAAAGATCGAACGCAACGCTATTCCCGAGCTCGATTACTTGTCGCAAATCAACTTTGAACTGTACGAATCGGAAAACGCCAGTGTTGACGATCAACCACATACTTTTAATTACAGCATTCGTATCACGTTGTCGCCAGGTTGTCACGCGTTTGCTCCACTTGACGTGTAAGTGGTATATGCCCGTCATACTTTACTCTCACTAACATGAACAGACAACTTGACTCTCGCCATATGATTGGATTCGCACCGCGCCGCAGCCTCACTCTCCATCAGGACTGGAAAGAGGTTCTCGAGACACTACGCGCCAAGTTCCACACGTAAGTCCATTACCAACCCTCCCATGCCACCGCACAACTCCTTGCTAACCCCATCGCAGTGTCAAACTACCCAAGTCTTTTGTCGCTATTGATCTTAGCGAGAAAGTACCAGAGGCGTTTGAGCGCAACACCAATGGCAAGGGCAAGGAGCACAACATGACTGAGAGCGAGGAGCGCGGTAGAACCGAAGAGAGGGGAGAAGGTGTTTCGCTGCTGCCCATTGCCAATGAGAAGGGTGAGGTTGTTTCCCCCACCAAGGCGCCGGGCCCAGACTACTCGGGACCCAAGGACATGAGTCCAACGGACCTGCCTCCGCCAATGATGGACGATAACAAGGAGTAAAGCAACTAGAGGGTGTTGGTATTTTTCTCTCTTTTTTTTTTGCATGCATCCGGTGGTTGCTCTGACGCATTTTAACTCAGTCGTTGTTTTGCATAAACGGGCTTAGAGTAGAGGGCTTCTCTTTTTCTTTTCCCTTGTTTTGGTCTAGAGATGATGGGACGTAGCAATGCCTCTCTCTCTCTCTCTCTCTCTCTCTTTCACTCTTTCTTTTTTTTCGCGCAACATCATGCGGTTGGATGGATGGATGGTGGCTAGGCGTTGATTCTTGCATTTATAGACTTGGGAACAACCATGACTGATACAGTATACACATATATACATATGTATAGCTTGATGGCTAGAAATCACGTTATAGAACACAATTGAAGAACGTTGAGATGATGGTTGTGGTTTTGCTCTTGTTTGTTCCTCTGGGTGGTGTGGAAGAGTGTGGAATGTATGTATGTATGTATATGTGTGTGTGTGTATGTGCGTCTAAAGGGTGACTGTTTTTGTATGCTATGTACTACATACAACTACTAGGTATGTGGAGGGGATTATCCTGCATTGCTGGTTTGAAATGTACACATGCCACATAAGCACACTACTTATTGTTTTTTTTATAAAAAAAATACTCAAGTTAGAAAATGTAAGTTTGAAGAATGGTTAAACACATCATGTATACTTGGGGACTAGAAAATATCTTTTTTCTTTGGAATATCTCTCAGTTCAGAAGATGGATATTGGGGATTACTTAGTTTGACATTAACTCTGGTATTTGAACCACATTATTATTTCTGTTTTCGTATTTATAGCTGATGTGGAAATAGCATGGAAACATGCTTCACAATACATAGTGTATTAGGGACGGTTGGACTACATAAGTAATAGTGGCGCCCACATTTCTCAACCCACTTACTTTCCTTACTTTACTTTACTTTACTCTACTTTACTTTACTGCACGACAATCTCCCCCTGGAGCCTCACATCGCGACTGCTAGCGCCAAGCCAAACGGGGTATTTACCGCTCTGCAGCTCCCACGTCTGGGCCTCGACATTCCAGATGCTGAGATCGCGTCTGTGCAGCTGGAATTCCACGGTTGCCGACTCGCCGGGCTTCAGGATGCCGACGCGCTCGAAGCCGCGGAGCTGGCGCTGCGGCGCGTTCGGCACGCCGAGATACAGCTGGGCGACTTCGTGGCCCGCCACGTCGCCCGTGTTAGTGATGTTGGCACACGCAGTGTACAAGACGTCCCAGAGCTGGGGGTGGCCGCCCTGCACAATGGGCACCGACGGCGAGGGGAAGCGCTCAAACGAAGCGTTGGATGTGGGTGTAATTTCCAAGTCGGCGTATCCAAAGGTCGTGTATGATAATCCGAAGCCGAATTCGTACTGCGGCGTGATGTTCCGCTTGTCAAAGTCGCGGTAGTCAATGTACAGGCCCTCTGTGAAGTCTGACTGGAGGAACGCCGGGTTCGAGGGGTCAACCGTCGAGTTGAGCAGGGAGCCGTAGTCGGATTCTGAGCGGGCAACTGTGTATGGCAAGCGGCCGCTGGGATTGACGTCGCCGTAGAGCACGTCGGCGATGGCGTGGCCGCTTTCCTGGCCGGGCAAGCCGGCGAATACAATGGCGGTGACGTTGGGGTGGTCGCTCCATGCGTCGACGGTGCGGATGCCGGCAGAGTGTATGACGACGATTGTGTTGGAGCAGTTTTTCGCGACGTTCTGGACGAGCTGGTCGCTAAACTCGTCGGTGAGACTCGTGCGGTCGAAGCTTTCTGAAGCGTACGCGTTGATGAAAACAAGGCATGCTTCGGCGTTGGCGTAGATGGTGGGATTCACACTCCAAAAATCCCATCGGACAGTTCCTCGGTCGGCGATCAGCCGGTCTTGAATCGCTTTGAACGGGCTGATCACATATGGTGGCGTATTGGAGCCGGAGCCGCCTGCCGTTATCAAAGTGCCGTTGAGAGTGTTCCACCCAAAGTTGACTTCGTACCCGCCACCAAAGCGAGTTGGGTTGCTCCAGGGCGCAGCCTTTACCTCGGCGTCGTAGCCGTAGATGTTCAAAAAGCGAGGATTACGCAGCGGCAGTGTCTTGTTGACGTTCTTCACAAGCACCGTTCCAGCTGCTCCGATTTCTCGGATCAAAGAAGCGTGGTCCTCGGTTACGTCGATGATGTCGTGCTTCACGTTGTACGGGTACACGCTCGGCTTCAGATTGGACTCGTCCTGCTTCAGATAGTAGTATGCCGCGAGGAGTCGGGTGTTCATGTCGTCAAACCTCTCGGAGCTAACCGAGCCGTTGTTCACGGCGTCAGTGAGATTGTTGCCCCAGAACTTGGGCACTGGCATGACGACATCAAGGCCAGCATTTGCCGATGCAACACCTGCGTGTTGCGCATCCCAATCAGACACCTAACTTTGTGAGCACGTGCAACAAATGAATTCGGAATCAGACATACCACGAATCCCTCAAATCCCAATTGCGTTTTCAACACGCCGTTCAACAAGGCAGAGTTCTGGCAGCCATAGCTAAGTTTGACACATCACGTTAGTCGCTTTCTGATAGCAGACAGCTCCACATGAAGGCTACTTACGAGTTGTTGATCCTCTGGTATGAGCACATCAAGGAGGCTGCTCCTTCACGGAGCGCATCCATAAAAGGCCAAGCGTACAGTTCATGTAGTGTACGATCATCGACGTTGGAGGAAACCGCCTCTCCTTCATCACCAGGGCGTCTTCTATACTCTTGCTCCTGTGCAATCCAATGCTAAACCACATGTGAGTCTTGCAGTCCATGATTCAAAAATGCTAGATTTCTCACTTTGGGAGTAGCAATGACGCCTTCTTCCTGGGTGCCTTTTGTGATCAAGCCTCCTCCAACACCGCAGAGATACGGATCAGCTCCTAGGCCCTCCCAATTGCGGCCGCCTCGTGCAATTCTCCCCAACGGCCCGATAAAAGGGCCTAGTGCAATGTGAATACCTTTTCCGCGATATTCCCTTCCCAGAGCCTTTCCATATTTGTACATGAGATCCTTGTCGAAAGTCGCTCCGAGATGAATGCCAGCTGGGAATGCAGAGATAAACTCCTGTCCACGGATGCCATCAGGCGCATCCGCAAAGCAAAGCTCTGGGATGTTGAGGCGAGGTACTGCGCCCGTTTGGCCTACACATGGTCCGGTAACGCCGTGAGTCAGGTTTGACTGTTCTTCCTGCGTCAGCTGGGCTACAATGGCCTTTGCGCGAGCATATGCTGCGGCCCAGGCAGCGGACGTGGAACCGTGCCCTTGTGCTAAGAGATGTCAGTATCTCCAGATCAGACCGACTCGGGAATACTCACGCGTGGGATACACTGGCGGCGAGAGCCCATACAAAGGTACCTCCGATTGGTTGGTGTAGCCTTGAGAGGCCGAGAGGCCAGGGAACACGGCAATGCCTAGAGCCAAAGCTTCCGAGTACCTCATGTTGAAGGTCTTGCTCTTGCAGGCTGCAAAAGGCGCGTTACCTTTGAGAACAAAGCCGCCCAAAACATTACTTCAACAGGCTTATAAAGCCTCCGCATCGGTTTTTACGGCCCATGCCTGATGTCATGCCTGGTGAATGCGATTCATTCCTCAACAACAACTAGTATACTTCTGCGTCAGGCGGGCCATTTTGGGTCGACGCTTCTGTTTTTATTGAAGAGGCGGGACTTTTCTTTGACCTCGTGACGACAATTCCCCGCAACCTTGCCATACGGGGCTGCCGTGAAGAAAGCCGTTCTCCGCAACATGGCTTGGCTGCTGGGGTGAGGAGTGGAGACAAGCGAAAACAGACCAAGATGCCGGCAATCTTCTGGACGGCAAAACCACGGCACAAAAGTCCTTACTCAGTGGACCCACCATGCCGATTCATAAACCCAGACAAGAATCCCATCGATCCCAATGGCTTTGTGCTAGACAAACAGGAAATGTTGAACGATTTTATGCGACAAGTTCTTCAGTTTGCTGAAGGCTCTCTTGAATTTTGTACCCTGCAGCGTTTGAAAGCCGCAGTGTTAGCATGGTGGATCACATATAACAAATAAACTTGTTTAGTGAATTGGAACCAAAGGAGAGACAATTTCAACATCAGATTGATGGTCTCTAATTGCTAGTTGTAGCTGCTGCTGTAGTAGCGATAGGTGGTTGTAGTAAGCGCACAAGAGCACATAAACATCACGTGATGCACTCGCGCTAAGAGTCAATCGCATGAGAGCTTAATAAGCCCATAAACCCTGCCGCCTGGCTTTGCGGTATATATGCACGGAATATCTAGCGTGCCGTTTTGGTTCGGTTCCTATTAGGAGATACGATAAGGTGCTGAAGGTATTACTTACGAGTAAAAAGGAGAGGCAGAATCTTGTTCGTACTTATCGTGTCCGAGTCTAGTTCTACACGACCTAACAGTAAGCTTATCCTACTCCTTTACACCTACATGCTATTAAACTGCTAACATCTCTATTGTACCCAATTTTCGTAGTATGCCATTTTTTTAAGAGATGATGGTACTAGATTTTAGGAGTTTGATAACGTACAGTTTAAATATCTCTTAGTTAAAACGTACTCGTTCTATTTGTAATCCTGGCGGGTCATAGGGACCCGTTCAACTTTGTCGACATATTTTTCACAGTGATACCTCAGTTCAATTTGCAAAAAAAAAAGATATCATTACAAAACATGCTACTTCATACACTACAGAAATCCCAACCATGATCTGCAGCTAAAGCTACAATTCTTCCATCTAGAGCACTTCGTGTTCGGGAATGCCAAGGCTCCCTTCGTCTACGTACCGCCGAGCAATGGCTTTACGTACCTGATCCTGTTTTGACTACTTGTTAATGTGATAGGCGGTAGGAGCTTATTGAATTTGTTCATAATCACTAGTTAGAGCTAAGTTCTTCTAGTATTTACGTGAAAAGAATATGAGATAACTCGTGCCTCGTTCGACTACATGTATGGTATCTTTACTAACTAATACTAACGCTACTACTACTAAGGCAAGGAGATCTTACGCTAAAATGCTCGTCCCGAAATTCCTTCCTTAGCTGCCTGAGAGTCGGCGCGTTTATTTAACAAAACAGGTCATGTTTTTCGTGTCTCTTGTCACCTCTCATTCACATTTTTGAATTCTTTTCACTATGTACTACTATAATTCCATATTATTATCGGTTGTAATGGTATAAAACTCACATTCCTTGTTTTATTATATCATGTTGTTATCTTAGATAGCCATGTGGGTGCTAAATGCGGCTTTATTCGTGTATTCGATCATCCAAAGTATCGCCGCGATAGAACCACACTTACCAATTGATCGGAGGATGCTTGCATACAATGCACCGAGATACTACCAACGGTCTTACCAAGATGATATTAGTCTGCTTCTCATATAACTAAAAATTCACTCAATAAGAAGATTTTCTTCACCTCATACTACCCGTCTATCTCACACTCCCCACAACTCAGTTCTCAGTTATTCTCTTCGCTGCGCACTCATCCCCCTCTCCTCACATATCGTATCAACAAAATGCAATTTCTACAATTACTTGCTATCCTTCCCTTTATAGGCCTGGTTACTGCCGACATAGGTAATGTCTACTGCAAGGGGGCGCCAGCTGAATGGCGAAAACAGGGAGTATGTGTAGGTATCTTCAAGTTGTAAACCGTACTGATGTAGATAATAGGCAGTTGGAAATTGCTCGAGTCAGGATAGAGTGGCCTGTCTACAGTTTATTTGCCTTCCGCAAGTATGTCCAGACTATCAGAATATAAATAGGAGAGCAACTAACATGAGTTAAGTGTGATGATTGGTTCAATTCAGCATGGGCGAACGAACATGGTCTTTGCGATTGCTACTGTGGTTCGTCTGAACCGTAGGTACATAGATGCTACATGTAAGCGCAGCACCTAGCATCTGCATGACTGTGCAGTAGCTGTTTCTGTGCTTTCTGCAGACTTTGCATTCAGGCAGTTATGCTTGGTGGTATTAAGATGTAGACAGCGCCTCGTGTTATTCGATGGCCGCAGTATTCTACGACTGTAAGATTGGCTGTTTTGGCGTATTCAAATCGCGTATGAAATGAATGAAAGAAATGCAGATTAAGTGAATGCAAATACTGCTTACAAAAAAGTCAACTGTAAGACTAGGGCACCAAACATGTTGGTAGTCTGTCCTCTACTTATGATAATAGAAGAGTATCTTAGATACAGATATTGCTAGGAAACTTCAGGTCCTTATAGGTGATAGGTTGTCGAGAATGTCTGTAGGATACAAAGATTCAAGTGATAAGGAGTAGAGGCTTATATTAATGCTTTACTTATAATACTAAGGTTATAGTAGCGCGACATAATCTTAGAATAGAAACAAAGTGAATAGGAGTTGAATCTAGGGTATCAACGTAATCATACGGTAGAGGAAGCAGCGAAATACTAACACGAAGCTACCCACTGTTGTATGAATTCACATCGCTACTATACCTCTAGAAGTACTACCTTGAACAGGACTCTAATTTAGAAACATATATCCAACATAGTACTTGATTAAACAAAGGTAGAAGGAGGCTCACACACCTCTTTATAGGAAATGCTTACTCTTCAAGATTAATTATTCAAATAAGCTACATATCTCCGCCACGAATACCTCTTTGTTTAAGCCTTATTGCATCTTACGAGCACTGATAATTAGTAGCGATTTTTACCGTAGCCTACCTCATAGCTAAGTGGGGTCTCTTAGGGAAAGCGAAATGCCCTCCTATACTGGGCTATTTGTAATATAAGTGATGTTAACATGGTAACACAGCGGATTTTGTAACGCAGGAGAGTATGCAATATAAGGGTAGTAGTAAGATACTATACCCTTTACCTTGCCGGAATTATATATATATATATATAAGCTCACTTAACAGCATGCTAAGCGCTGTAGATTCTCTTTTCAGTCCACATGCTGGACGAATGATTTACCTAGTTCTGTAGGTGCAATTTTCCTGGATGTGCAATGCATGCATAATAGTATGTCTTGCTAGTGTATTACTACAGCCTAAGTCTCTAATACCATAATACTTTACCTTTAGTGCCAAGATATAAGTAGTGTATTGGTGTGCGATTTTTTTATGCATAGGCTATCACACCTACCTTCAGGTAATGCAATTAGCTATCAAAAAAGAAAACCAAAAGACTTAACTGCCTGAATGTAGAAGTTTAGAGTAGATTAAGCCTATTCTCAAGTGTACCGTCATCTTTTCCAAGACTAAAATAATATTCGTTGTGTAGCGGTATGGATCAAGTATCCAGCACCACCTGATCAAGTGACTATCAGAAGTACTTGATCAGATGTACCAGTGGGGCAGCAACGTGGTGATCAGTTACTGGATATCTTCTTCTTGGCATATCTATACAATCGATAGATTTGACTCCTCGAATAGCAAGAGCAATCTGATCAATTCTCTCTCATTCTGAACCATCTACGTATCAATATTTTGCTCCACATGTTGTGATTTAACTCTCTCTTCGAACTGGACTCGATGGTGTTCGTTCTTCAATTAGGAGGAATTTTTTTTCATTTCAAGGCCAGTGTTTAGCGATAAAACCCTGTATGCATAGCCCTCTCAAGTACTACAGAAAACATATCCTAAGCCCTGAGACTCTAGCGCGTTGTCTAAAAAGTGTCACCCGGTGCATGCTAGTATGCTAACAATATATCATCTTGATAACCAACCTATACTCCCAGTTAAGCTCATGGACATGCTCATAAGGTTTTTTCGATGCCTTCTACTTCCTTCATGATGGTCTTCACTGCAGTGTTCTTGCACGAAAGTACTTCTAGACTATTCGCTTTATTAGACACCCAACGGGGTCGAATAATCCAAGAAGAGCCAGAGAACTGAATATATCCTAATTTCTCTAGGGGAAGGCCCAGCTGCCTGTATAATCAAATCATCGCGATCGTATGATAAAAGTGTCTCTGTAGCTTTTCTTGACTCCACTGCAGCTAAAATGTACAAAGCATCTTCAAAGCAATCCCGGTTATACAAGTGATACAATTGGTACGGTACATGTAATGAGCGTTTAGATTCTATAGACGGCTGCTCAGATGAAGTAGTTATAGTTATGTTTCTAACGTATTCACGGCCTACTCTACGCCTAGTATGATCTTCACGTTAATATACAGTTTGTACCGCATCCAAAATACGCTTAGTATACTACTATCACGTCAAATTGCCACGCTGCTATAATACAACAGGTCCGTCTGGCGCGAACCAAGTCCCACTGCGTGCACGTATCATTACCAGGTTCATAAACTATACGTGTAAACCACATAGGAGAGTGAGAGGCAACAGTGCCAACCAAATCTTGAGAATTACAAGCAAACAGTATGTTCCTAGAAACCCTCGACGTGAAAGAGAAAACAACATGAACAAAACACACACACACACACACACACACACACA